CTGCAGTTTTGCTCTAGCTAACAGCCCTGGGATAGTTATCATACGGCCCGTTTCGCCCTCAGATATCAGTAATCTAAGATCAGAGGGACGTGCTTAAGCGGGAGTCATAGCATTTAAGGAGACAGCGAGCCTTATCGAGGGCATATATCGCTTCTCCCCCGTCCATTCGCCGCTGGGCTCGGAAAGGACAAGCATCGGGGGTATTTTAGGCGCGGCCAGTCCAGCCTGGAACCTGAGCTAGCCGCGAATTTAAGAGGGTGTGGCTTTTGGGTTCAGGCCAGTGAGGAAGACTTCGTTTGCCAAAGACGATGCTTCAATCGACATTGATGAATTAAAGTGAGTATTTATTAATATTGCGTTTATAGCTCGTTAAGTAGTTAACTACCGAACCCCTGTTTCATTGGCATGGAACCCAAACTCACTTTGCCTTAATTTACGTACCAATAGAGAGTTCGTCTGCTTCTTCACTGAAGCTGTTGCGACCAACTGAAGCTGCCTGAAGTGCGTTTGGATATGGGAGCCTGCTCCCAATCTAAATAAAGTAACGAAAGAAAACCTGTTATTTACTTGACTACGACCCGCAAAAGTCGCATCAGGCAACGGCGTGGGCGATACCCATAACTAAGACAGTAAGTGCCACGTTGTTCAATAAGTAGGTGTTAGTTATAGCATAACTATATTGACATAGCCAGCTGAACTTCCATTTTAAAAACTATCAACCTTCCACCACAGAAAACAAAATGCTCCCAGCTCTATTCCACCAGGTCTGGAAACCCAAGTTTGAGTCCTACATGCTGCTCATACTCTCACCTGAGCAGCACCTGACTTACGTCCATACTTACCCCGGCCTGGGGGGCCGTATTGATACTGAAGTATCCCAGGAATCTACCCCGACACTTCCATGCTCAGTTAGCTTTGAATCTCGTATTCAACTAGGAAAGCTCGCAGTGCCACTCCCTGAAAATCAAGGGCTGAAGGATATCGTTGATCAACTTAAAGAGTGTTGTCAAAAGGCGCGCGAAGGCAGCGTTGACCATTCAGAAGGTAACACTCTCTTGTCCGATAAGACTAAATTACAACAAGTGCTTGATCGGTGCGAGCAAACACTCAGAAAATGTTTCATTATACTCAAGGAAAGGGAAACCGCCCCTGAGACTACAGCGAAATTTTATACAGTCGACCTCGTGCGAATATCAAAACCTGAAAAGGGAACGATTATGGATCTTCGTATGAAAAGTATTTCGGTGAAGGAGAAAAATGTTGCGGACAACCTGTGAGCCCAGTGAACTTGCACTAATATGCCAGTATGCCTTGTTCCCAAAGCTCAATGGTCGACGTGCTTTCAATGCCTATGTTTACGGGGAGGAAACTTCCTTGACTCGGCTAAGGTTGTGGACTTAGAGTCATTGATACTAGGACACTCTGGTTTCCCCAGAAGAGACCACTAGACTAATTTCGTGATACGGCGTCAGATATAACTACCTGACGCTAAACAGCATTTTTGTGGTGCTGGCAACTGAGGCACGAATACCGCGTATCCCCACATTAGGGAGCAGCTCTAAACTGTTGAAGCGTGGACTTTTTATGCCGCAAGGCTGTACAAAGCCATAGCAGTTGGTAGTTAGCCCAGTTTCTGCTTTAGTTATTCGTTTTGTGATAACTAGTTAACTAACCAGCTTAGTACATCAACCCCCTAGTTGTCGTTGAATTCTCCGGCGTTTTATTTTTTTTATCTTTATTTGCCAATATCCTATTACTTCCCCTACACGAAATCCTTCAGTTCCTTGTAATGGCCAACTTATCGCCATGGAAATGTCCCTAATTGGATTCTGTAAAGGAATACAGCCCCTGCACCGATATATATACCCTGCTATTAATGCCACCAATCCACTCCTAGAATAGCAGCTTGTCGAACTAGTTAACTAACTAGCTAACTAACTAACTAGTTAAAAGCGAGCTGTTGTCTTGAATTTTCTACCCACTTGAGGAGATAAACAATACCTCTATCTCTCTATCTCTGAGACCCCAATTCGATATCGAAGGCCGCTGGTTTTATGGTATTTATTTCCCATCTTCGACATATGGGAATTATCTTTTCTACAACACGTCTTCAGGCTGCTTTCACGCAGTGCATGTCGGCTGTGCAGGGCTAGTGCCTGCAACCCCTGCTCTCTGGCCAGTAAGCAACCCAACACCAACGCCAAATGTTGGAACTACACCATAACTACATGATAATCCATGCAGTTAGCGAACGGTACTCTACGCAGACTATGCCATGTTAAACCAAAATGAGCAACGTGATTGTTGCTCCGCCTCGACTACTGGTCGGGGCCGTCCTTTCAAAAGACGAGGCATCCTCCTCTTCAACCTCAGCTCTTATTAGTATCTGGACTTGTGAATTCAGCACTGCATTTCCCTTTTTACACCACTCAAGATGGCGGCAAAACGACAAGCGCCTGGAGATCCCATGGCCACACACTCAGTTATGCAGCCACCGCCTCAAGCGATGCCGACGTCAGTTGACCCAGCAAACCCAGCGACTCCCGGAGCCCCTAGCGCTCCTGAAGCCCCTATCAGCCAACCGCCTAATATCATCAACCCATTGAGTAGTACATTGACTATACCGGCACAAGCAGCCCCTACCTCTCAACCTATACCTGGGGTCGGAATGACCAGCGTTGTGTCAGAAATTTCACCCCCGTCTGGGACCAAACATCCAAAAGCTACAGCAAAATACCCTCCTACCACAACGCCCTACAGCCAGCCTACGGAGGGTCCTCAACCTAGCCATTCTTCTTTACCCGTAAACCCCCATGCTAGCGGCTTCAGCACTGGGCTACTGGCTGGCGCAATCGCTGGCTCTGTTGTTTGCAGTGTACTTCTTACGTTCGTGGCCACCTACTTCTTTTTTAGCCGCCGGAGATCCAGGGGAGGAAACAATCCTTCAGATAGACAGACGAGAGAGCCATTAGGGGACAAGGACTACGATGTTGAAACAGCCAGTTCTAGGCGCCCTCTGAATAACACACTTCCATATTCCAGCGATACAGATAAAAAAAGTACAGTTTACCCGCACGCTCCACAAGCGGAACAGAGTGGTTTAGAGGACTATATCCCTAGCCCGGCGGATGATAAGACAGTCCAAAGCCGTGTCTTGACTGTCTTTGATCATCTTGCTCTCCACGTTGAGAATTACTATACTTGCAGCTCACCTTTGCCTTCGGAATCTGGTCACTCAACTCAGCATGTAGCTATGCTCAACAGCTATAATTCACCATTCCTTCCAGCACCGGTTGCTTCTCTACTATCCCAACCCAATGACCGGGAACCCATCATAAAGCACTGCCTGGTTCAGTCTCTCATGCCGGCTACCTTCCATGCAGCTCCAGCTAGCTCTCGATCCGAAGCAAGTTCGTTTCTTCCGCCTCTGTTTACCGCATCCAAAGATTTCCAGGATATGCAACCACATCGAGGTAAGCTTTTAAAACAAGTTCGGGATTACCAAGGCGCAAGACTAACACATCCATCAGATCAAGAAGCACACAAGGTCCACTTCTACTGGAGAATGTTAACAGCACACTGGTACCGGGGTGCGCCAGATACACAAAAGCAAGCATATCTTTCTACGAGGGCAGAGAACATTTCAAAAGTCGTCGACGCTTTCACATCTGCATTTCGACCATACGCAAACCCTCACCACCCAGAGCCTGAAAGAATACGTCATCTGACCAAAGTAATGGAAGATGCCGCAGACCTGGGTATCTGGCTCTTTGAACAGCCGTGTGAATTTGAGTTCGCTTGGGGAAATGTGACTGCTGGGCAGGTGGTTGTATCTCCTGCAGTAGTGAAAGTGACGGATGAACAGGGGACGCTGCTACCAGTTACAAAAACTGTAGTTAAAGCTGATATTGCACGCTGTATATAAGTTTCTGCAAGGTAGACTGTGAGATAAACGTAACAATTAGCAATAGCTCAAGAGAGGAGTATGTTTGATCTAGTATGGTTATTTCTTCCGCTGGATTTCCCTAGTTAACTAATTAGGCACGGGAACTTGATGGATGCGCTTCATTGAAATCATTATGAGCCGTCAGAAGTAGGTAGGGGTATCGTCATCGGTTTCGCTTCTTCGTATATATATACCCTCTTCTGTTAATAATATTTCTCGTGTATCTTATATCCACCCCTTCAGTTACCTTCTAAGGCAAGGCCAAGTCATAACGCCTACCTCAACTTTGCACTTGCTCGGCACTATGCATTAACTATGGAGTGTGTGTTGGGGTTTAGAACTACCTAAGTTACCCCCTGCCCTTACGTAGTAATTCAATCATCAATCCCATGATGAATTATCTCCTGCGTAGATCCACCGCAGCCGCCCGTTCTGTTCAAGACTGGCAGAAGTCTGCCTTATATAGACTCTATTATTATTATTTTAGCTTAACTACCTAAGTTAACTAGTTAACGGACCGAGGCTCCCGACGCCGTTAACTAAGTACCTAGGTAGTTAGTTAGTTATGACGACGTAGTTAGGGCATTTTGATTAAAACTTGGCTGAAAAACACGGTGGCTTCAATGATTAACTAGTTAACTAGCTGACTGTCTGGGCGTTTGAAGGAGCCCATTTCCCTCCATATCAGGTATGTCGAGTAACCGTCCTTTTAACCGAGAAGATTGGAGTCAAACCTAACACCTCTGGTTCAGCAGCCACTACAGCCTCGATCTAACTACCAGAAAATGGCAACACCAGCTCGCCAAAACTTCGAGGGCATTGCACAAATGCTCGACGCCGTTACTATAAAACAACCTGCTACTTGGGGCTTTGTGGTCTACCGATGCTCGTATAATAATGAAGATGCCTGGCAGACAATTCTTCAAAAACTACGCGAAGAGATAGTTGAATCTCTAGAATTGGCTGGGCGAGAGGACTTATTACCTCGCCATGAGATGATTATTATGGACGATAGAGCAAAATATGAGGGCGCCACATCTCATGATATCCGTGACCATTTCACCTCTTGGGTATTTGATACTTTACCTAGTATCACGGCCATTCCATTGACTGAGTCCGAGAGGCAGTTAACCCTTATAAATGATACCCGTATTCTAGGGCGAGAGACTGAATTTGGTACACAGTATACTTTCTGCCTTTTTGTTGATGACATTTGCCTAGAGTCTATTAACTATATGGATCCCCCAGTTATAAAGTTACTGGCAAAGCACTTTGGAGCTCTAGACCCTTCTGAAAGAGACTATATCATACACCCTGATTACGAGGATGGTGAAACAGATAACGAAGAGGAAGATGTCGGGTGGATGTATTTTGAAATTCATGAGTATGTTGAGATGTATGACCTGTTGGAGGACGGGACTGAGTGGTGGTATGAAAAATACCGGAGACCACCCTTGTTACCTTATGACTGTATCGCGGATCAAAACCCAGGCTATTGGCGCAATTAATGCCAGTGGCTAGTTGATGTACATACTGGATTGAGGTGCTTAGGCAGAGGCGTCTTATAAAATTACGCCATACATTGATACTCAGCGGACATATATCTCATCTACCATTATTCTCGATATCCTTATGGCCCTATATACGATATATATATGCCGTGACAAATCATTGTTGAGTATATAAGAATGAGACTAGCTAGAGAAACCAGCAATAGCAGTACTTCGGCTGTCCATATTTATTACAATATAACCTTTAACTATCTGTCAAGTGATTGAAAGATTCGATATTGGATAGCAAAACCTTAGAACATTAGCTCCTCTATTGTTAATCTTGATAAGTTAGGTATTGTCACCAAGAAGGCCTCTTTTAGCTGAAAGAACCTACCCCAAGTCTTTATCTCCCCGGTTTCATAAGGTATCCAAATAACGAGATAGCCTGCCTCTGGCTTTGTCAATGTGATATGGGACTGTTGTCAAGTGATATATAGCATATATGACTGCACCTAGGGAGCATCAGTAGCACAGGTTAAAGGAAAACCCAATAAATCAAATCTATTCCCAGATTATTACCCATCTAACCGTATAGATATCCGGTTAATTAACAGCAAAACACTTCATCATATGTAACAAGGGCGCGGTGGTGGTAGTATGTATCAAATAAGAGAGGAAAGGCATAACATCTCAATAGAAGACCAAAACAGGGGCATCAATAAACGCCATCGCCATGAGAGGGTAGGAAATAGTAACTAACACCCATTCCCGATGGGATAAGAAATGTGTAAAAGAGAAGTGCCAGGGGAGAGAAATCATGACCTCCCAGCATTATCAATAACCATATTAACTTCCTTAATAGGATGTAGAAGCATAGGTGGCAGACACATCCTCCCTTCATTAGCTAGTTCATATTCTTCACCACCATCATTGTTAGATCGGTAGCCTAGCCATCGTCGCCAGAGGTTCTCTGAGTGGCCGGCAGAGTAATACCAGGTTGTTCCTCGGAAATTGTGTTCACGGCTACCGAAGACAGATGTCCTAGCTCCGCCGGTTGCGCCGTTACGGCCTGAATTGAAGACTGATTCGAGGTAGGCGGTTGGCCATCGTCGATCAATGTATACCGAATGAGGCACGTACACGGCTTTGTGGCCGTGATGAAGAGCAACGGTTGGTGGCCACATTTCGGAAAACATATGGTGTCTTTTCAGGCTTGTTTCCTTGTGCATTGTGAGTAGGAGTTTGCGGGAGAGACGTGAAGCTGCAATGATGGCTGCTCGCCGCGGCGGTGCTTCTTCGCTCTTGTTGTATCCCGTAATATCATCCTTAAGAAGCCAGGTGGTTCCATCCGGATCGTAGAGAGGGTTGAGAACAATAAGGTCAGCCTCCTCGCCAACGCCCCATTCAAACTTATCCTTCTCATAACTAGTCGGTGGTTTGCCATCGTCTTCTAGCTCCAGAACATCGTTTTCAGCTGGTGGTCGCTCGGGGCCCCAGATAGGTCTGTCACCCTTCATTTCAGTTGGGCGATGACCGTTTGGCCGGTCCTTGGATGCTGCGCTGAACATGTTGTTAGGGCTGGCTGTTCCATGCTCTGTTTGCACTCTGACGGTATGGCGGAAATCCTCCCATGATCCATGCACAGAAGGAACGTAGAACCGGCTGTTTCGTTCCCATAGTCCTTTTCTGGGCTGTTCTTTTGCCCAAAGGCGCATCTTGTTAAACAAATCGTACCAGTGACCTGTGTAGCGAGCATCCATCTCCCAGTTCCAGAAATAGTCATATTCAGGATGCTGAAGAGCAAAATACTGAACGGGCATAAATGTGCTGCGGTACACACCGTGGACGGGGAGGTTTCGAGCAAACGTCTCTTCAAGGCCACCATATATGAGGCCCATCTGTCTCTCGGACCAAAGTGTGCCCATGCCCTGGAACTCTTCTGGCAGTGACTCCCGCAAGACACGGTTATAAGTATCTTCATCTGACCAGATCTGGAGGTTGTCATCCTTGACATGGATCAAGAATTGCACATCAAATTCTCCACCAGAGAAGAGTGACAGTTCAGCAATTAGGGAGCGAAGGTATAAGATTGCTTCGGTATCGTACTTGAACTCTGACCAGGTTCTAATTATGACTGCGGTTCGGGGAACTTTTGTTGTAGTGGGGGCGGTAGGATTTTCCGGTGCATGCGTTTGGGAAGTTTCCGCGCCACGAGGAGCCTTCTCGCCCACAGGCATACCTATGAACCTATCCGTCTTTGGCGCCGTTGGGGAAGGGAACCTATGGCGGTTGTCTTGCAGACATTGTTTCTGCGCGTCGGCCCATTTGACTTTTCGATAGTCAACCGGGGAAGCATGCTCCCACATATGGTCTGCTCCAGATCGGTCACCTTCCAGTCCAGCGCCGGTACCGCCTGATCTAACTCCATATCCTAGGCCGTAAGGTCCAAGTCTTCCAAATCGATCGTAGCATACATCAGTTTCGAGCCCAATCAACTCATTGGAGCCCATGACATTGTCAGGGAACCCTTTTGGAAGTCCATTATATCGGCGAACCTGAGGGATAGGAACCTTTCTTTCACTATCCACATAACAGTCCACTTTTTTACCAAACTTTTCAACGTAGCTCTTTGACGAGAACTCCGGATACGGGTTAAATGGAACGTTTTTAACCACTCTGTCCATGTCAACTGGCTCTTCGGCGGTGGAATTATCTGTTCCTTTGTTCCCGCCAGGGTATTCAGGGACACTCTCATTCTTCGGTGTCAACGTCCGAAGTCCGCCATAGTACCTAAGCAAGAAGGGGAAGTTCTCCCACTCAGGTGGCTGCGGTTTGAATATGTTTGGTGGTGGAGGAGCTGGAATCTTAAATATGGCCTGAGACAGGGTGACTCTGAACAAGGTGAAGACGAAGAGGACGAGCCCAACAAACACGCCCAAACAAACCCATCTCATTATGGAATTGGGAACTCTGTAGAGTTGGACTCTAGGCCTTCTTCTGTATTTTACCTGTGAGAGGAACGGTTTGGACGCGGAAGAGTCTGAGGGAGCGTAGGAGAGTTCTGAATGGGAGCCGTATTCTTCATCATAGTCGTAAGGAGAGTATTTTTCAGCGTCAATCTTTATTCGAGGGCCAGGGGACTCTCTTGAAGAGCCTGAGGTTGATCCGGGGGCCATGTTGTCGACGATAGTTTGATAAAAATAATAGTGAACCAGCACTCAGTTGTCCATCTGGGGAATTGGAAAAGGGGTTGTCTTTAATTTCCTGGAGTTTGGATGGTGGCAAGAGAACAGCGGCCAAGGACTAGGGGTAGCCGGGATGAGACCTGGCCCCGGTATGCGACAATTAGGCAGACAACGGCCGAATTGACATGGAGAGGTTGAAGATGGAGGAGAATTCAACGGCTATCGAAGCGGACGAAGGAAATTCTCAAATTTCGAGTGACAGATTTGACTTGCGCGTCGCACGGCTTGAACACCCAAACATGATCTCATCGTCCCGAAACTTTTTTGCTTTTAAGGGCCCGAGTGTTTACGAAAAGTGGAGCATAAAGTGGTGCTTATTCGGGAATTAGCCAATAATGTCTCTAGGAAACTGTTAGTAAGCATTTCCATAGCAACTGGATCCACTAGTCCCAGATAGGAAGACGGGATATCATGTGATAATATTAGTCATATATTCACGTGATATAATCTCGAAGTCGCGGATGAAAAAGATGAAGGAAGATAACAAACAAGAGCACGAAGCCAGAAGAAAATAAGACGATAGGAAGACGATGATAAAAGGTTGGGGGAAAGAGGATTATGAATTATTTGACAGCACATAAGCTGGTAGAGTAATGGCTGTTGGTTGTTGATATCCGATTATCTGACAGCCTTCCTTCACTTCTTACACCTGCCCTTAGGGCTCTCCAGCGTCGCCTGAGCCTGTTCCAGGCTGTCGACGGCGATCTTATAGCCACCAGCCAGACCGGTAACGAGCTTCTCTCCGTCCTCGCAGTCTCTCTTCAGCGTCGCCGCGTAAGGCTGTCACGTATTAGTTAACTACCAGGAACAACAAGAAATAAACTGGCCAGAACCCACCTCTATCCCATATCTGACCAGGCGGAGGTTCCATCCCATAGTCGGGCCCAGACGGTCGATGTTCTTGCTACAGAACACCACCGGGTTTGTACTATCATGCGAGAGCGTCGTCATGGCGTTGAAGAACTACCAAACACCATTAGTATGAGACTTTAAAGACACAGCAGAGAAAGAAGATGAGAGCCAACTTACACCCTTCAAGGCACCAGCCAACTGGTTGCACTGCCCTTTGCTCTGTACCAGAGTCAACCTTTGCTCTTTTAAACGAGCTGTAGCAGCTGCACACTTACATTCCGGCTCTGCACCTTCAGCCCGTTCAAGACAACCATAGCTTCATCCGCTGCTCTTGCAGTTGCAGAGTTGATGTTCGATATAGCTGCCTCGGGCCCTTCTTTGACAGCCTGCGGGAACTTGGAGTGGTAGACTCCAGCGGCAGCCGTGGCAACGCGGAGAGTCTGGATAGTTGACTGCTCGAAGGCGAAGGCGGGGAAGGCAAGCATCAGCGAGCCGATGAGAATAGAGGTCAGCTTCATGACGGGCTCGTTGTTGACTGCTGGATGCTGGGTGCTGGATAGCCGTAAGTATCGTGGATGCCAGCGGAGGAGTGTACCCTTTTAAAGAGGGACACTATCGCTATCTGAGTTGCGAATCCTGCGATGGCCTGCTACTGGTTACTGGGCGAACAGGCTGGTTCGTCACCTGTGTAACTGGCCCAGGGTCTCCCATCAAGCAAATAAATAACTAGTCGGCTGTTGATCCCTTTAGCTGCATAACTGGCCGCCGCATAATTATGCCAATCGGGATGGAGTCAGTAACGCGCGACCGAATAGCATATTTCGCAGTCCGTGGAAGACAAACAGACAACGAGAACATCCTCCTTTCGATAGCTCCCTTTAGTTAGCTATTGGAGACACTCAAGACTTATGGAAAGCAAACACCAGCTACCTGAATCATAATGCTCAGCTGGGCCATCATCAACCTTAAGTATGCACCTAAAGGGATGATACTTAGAAGTGTATTTCACTAAGGGTAAAGAGGTCACTTTGCAGCGGGAGAATCAGTCGCCTTATAACTAACCAGCTAGTAAATTCGTAGCAAACGGCGGCAACATTACACAAGACTTATGGAGTATAATGCAATGCGTGCATTTACATATGCCTTTGAGGCGAGGGACGTTTACGTATCCTCGCTGTAACCACAAGCCATAACCATGCAGTGGAAATATCTACCATGTCAACATCGGGTCTGAAAATACACTTCGTGTGCGCTCGACATGCATAGGTAACTTCTATAGGTAACTTGGGTACCTAGTTAAGTGGATCTATAAAATGGAGAAATAACCAGGAGAAAACTCTGCATCTACGCGCCGCCAGATATACCAGCCATGACTAGGTGCCTCCTCAAACGCAAACAACCAAGACTACACCAAATCGCGACCTAGTCTCATATCCCAAGTTTCTCCATATCAACTCGCCGAGCACCAGGCGGGGGCGTTAATCGCCATTTCACCATGCCTTATCAGCTTGGCCATAGAAATAAGGACATTCAATCCGTCCAGATTGCCACTTGACTAACTAGCACAGGGGATCCCGAATCCGAATCCCTAGTCGAGCAGAGTGGTGCTAGGTGGTTGACCTTACTTGTACAAAGCACGGCTGGGACAAGGCCTAACCACTGTAATAATTACACGGACAGGAAACCTGTTGCACGATCTCTGCTAACGACAGGAGATAGCTTAATGGGTAGTAGATATGGGTACGTGTCTAACTGTCATTAATTATCTAACTTGATACTGCCCCATAGGTGGCTTTGGGTTCTCCGTATCTCCGATGAAATTGACACAACTTCTCTACTAGTTAGTTACCATGATTCCAGATCGTTCTGGGAATGAAGAAAAGTCTAGTCCCACGTAGGCGGAGAAGCCTGGAATTTTCTATCCCTTTGGCTGCGGACAGAACTGAACGGTCTGGTTGTGTTCCAGTATTCCACTGCTGGCTCTGATGCTCAACCAAGCCTGCTACTAGATGTCAATCCTTGGAAGGGACATGTGGAATCTGGAGATATGGAATCCGGAGCACTAGGGTTGCCTCTCATCGAACCATCCTATCCTAGGCATTTAATCATCATAAAGTGGTGGATTATAGACCCTTTCGATTTAATGTATGGTGTTAGCCGGTTAATGGCCGGTAAATGTGTGGTTAAGAAGATATCAAGGTCTGCCCCTAAACCAAAAGTATTCCGAGGCTGGAAGAAGCTATCCCTCCGACAGAAGAGCTTAACAAGTAGTTTGGCAATGATACGATCATCACACTCCCTGTTCCGCAACATCCGGCTAAGCGTAGATCAACAAGGGGGCCACGAGACTGGAGGATCAATTAGATTAGCTTTATCAGAGTGAAAAATGGTTATACTTACTGTAAGCAATCTCTCCTTTCTCCTCTGTGGCCAGTACTAACCACAGGCTGACAGGTTACCAAAAGCAAAGCCTTTGGACGCCTTTGCTAAACCTCCATTTCTAACCCCCCCTCCCCCCCCCCCCCTGCACTCTACCAACATTTAACAGTCATCTTTCACTCGTCAATTCTGGCAACAAGACAGGGGAGCATGGGCCCTTAACTAGGGGTAGTTATCCCTGGCGAGTCATGCCAACCGCCGCATATATAAATACCCATGTTGGGCGCATGTCTCGTCTTCCCCAGAATTCTCTGTCTGGCCCTCCTTTAGCTCCTCCCACATTTCTCCTCACTGAATCAACCAAACATGACGGTTTTCTCATTTCCTGTGTGCTGTCTCAGTTGGTTCATTCTCCTGGCCTGCAGCAGGGCCATGGATGCACCAACCCCTACATTCCCACAGATTGTGGAAATGGACTTGATATTTCCACGGAACGATACCTACGAATCTATTCCACTCATGCCGGTTGTCTTTGCTATCCAGAACTTCTACGTCTCCAAGCCGCTCTTCCTGCGGATCTCCTATAGCCTCGAACAGAACCCATACATCAACGGCCCAAATGTAAACGGCCATTTGTATTTGGACAACGCCGACTTCCATAACGACAGCGACCCTTACTTTCTGTACAGCTGGACCCACAATTACAACACTACAGTGGGCACATGGAATTTTATCTGGGAGTGGTCTGTAGGGAACTGTTCAAGTGCTTATGATCCAGCTGAACCCTTTGAACCTTTACACATCGGGAACACTGGAGGGCTCAACTATCTTCGCTTTACTACCAAGCACGGGGCTAAGATGCCGGACCTCGCTGCCGCATCGCAAGATGGACACTGCGATAAGTTACCGGCACATACTTTTAATATTACCGAAGTATTAGAGGTCCCTTTAGGAACAAGATACTATAACAATCAACCGTCGTGCCCCGCGCTTTCAACCATAACACCAACTCCCAATCCCTGCAGAGTCAAGATAGACCCCACGGCAGCATCTAGCATTTCATATGCTATTCAATCTAAGGCATGTGTAGGTGGCTCAAGTCCATATGTGACCTGCCCGCCTGGTGTTGAGTTATGGAGTTCGGCGCGGGGGGCGGCGCAGTTGTTGCCAGGGGCAGTATTGTTGGTAGCTATTTTCGCATGGGTCGTCCTCATGATAGAATCTGTATAATATTTGACAGTCGTTTAGTAACTTGCTAATAATATTGGGCGAGTCCCGTGGTCAATCATCTCAACTCTCCCAGGAAAAACCCCAGAGAGCCAGAGTAAGATGCGGAACTTTTGGTCACTAAGCCAGGCTGTACCACGTGTATGCAGCGGAAACTATTTCGCCAGCCGAAACGTATTAAGACGTTTATCAGTCTGCATGCGAACTCCATTGACTTCTCCTGAGGGATCTGCATAGCCAATGGCAGCGAGGGGAGAAGTAATGAGCCTTCTATGATGTTGGAAATGGGTGTCTCAAACGTATGCGACCTAGTATCTTCCGAGGATCTGGTATATCCACACCATGCTATAGGCTATGTGGAACTCATCTTGTATGCCAAGAAGTGGAATCAATGTAGGAGTCAGGAGTATGGCGGTCAAATAGTCAAAAGGTGCTTTTATATGCATGGAGCGAGCGATGGTGGAGTTACTAGATGCTCGAATCAATCATGTCATTCACTTGGTCTCCAACCGACTGTCCTGTGAGAGCCTTTGGGCGGGATTGATCCTGAACAACGACGTAAACAGCATCCTTACCCCATGGTATATGGCTATCCCATCTCTTACAGCTCGTCTTTTCGTCTTTCTCTGGCTCTTTTGACTTTGTCTTTTTAACTTTTTGATGCTTAAAAACGTCAAGAAATATTAATTTTGATTACATCATGCGTTGAAACACGCTAGCCTCTTTAAGAATACTAGTCAGTCCTTTGGCTTATCTAAGCGTTTTTCTATTTTTGGGACTATAAAAAGGATGAAGAAACACAAAGCAAAAGACGAAGCAAAAGACGGCGATGGCGAGGCGGAAGAAGAGGCCAAGATGATTGACCCTGGTTGAGAGGAAGACCAAGACTCGCAGAGCAAGTGTAAGGGCGGATTCTCGTGGGTATCAACCTGAGAAAAAAAGACTAGTATAAAAATAACCACTGGGGATAAAAAAAGCTCCAGCCAACGAGCAGTCTAAGTCACGCCCTAAGTCATGCTCTAAGCGCCGGGCCTCACCAGGGGACGCAGCGGGCCAACGGGGAGCTGTGTCCAGCTCTATTCCCAGCTGCATATCAGCAACGGCCCGCCAGCCAGTGGATGCAAGCAGCAAGCAGCAGCAGGACAAGACATGCCTAGAGATATTTAAGTGGGCGGGCCTATCGTAGGCGCCGAGCAGCCTGCTTCACCTTGATTTGGAAACATCGCCCCCGTCGACGGGGTCTTTCTTCGCTGTGGAGTTTATATCTTTGGAAACACCGGGCGGCTGGCTTGTTTCAAGGTCTATATAAGGAGTGAAGTCGACAGCACCACATAGACTCTTCTCTCTCGCTTTATTATTCTCTTAACCGTTACTCTTATTAACAATTAGCTTCCAGCTTGCCAATCACTGTTGGTTACACAGAGCGGTCGGCGAGCTTCTTCACTTTGTTTTGAATCCCTTAAAGAAGCTCCTTCTCACTTCTTCTTCCTCTTCTCTCCTTCTCCTTCTCAGCTTCATCCTCCTGCACCAAACAGCTTATCATCACCACACTCAGTATCACAGCCTAAATACATACTCTTTAATACTGCACAAGCATCTCCAGCCACCATGAAGACCTCCCTTGTCCTCGCCTGCGCTACCGTGGGCTTCGGTTTGGCCGCTGCCACCACCCAAGATGCGCCTGAGACCACCAACAACCCCGTCGGCGTCGTCTACAAGGCCGAGTTTCCCGATAGAGACAGCACCGATATCAGAGGAACCGTCTCTGCCACCGCTCACAGCTCCGGCAGAGGCGTCGTTTTCGAGTTCGACCTCACTGGCTTCGACGAGGAAAATGGACCTTTCCGTGAGTTACATCCATTAGTTATACACCAGTCAAAATATGCAAACAAACAGGATAACTAGATAGTTGCATGTACTGACAACAACCAAAAAAACAGCATACCACATCCACGTCGACCCCGTCCCAGCAAATGGCAGCTGCACCGCGACTCTCGACCACCTTGATCCCTTTGGTCGTGGCCAGAAGCCTCCATGCGATACCCCCAACCCTGAGACCTGCGAGCCAGGCGACCTCAGCGGCAAACACGGCAAAATAGATGTCTCCGGCGATGAGCACTTCATGGCCAAGTACCACGAACTCTACGTCGCTACCCAGCAAGGCCTAGGCACTTTCTTCGGAAACCGTTCCATTGTCATCCACGCTAAGAACGGTACGCGCCTTACCTGCGCTAACTTCGCTCTCGTCGACCATTCAGGCTGCTCTACCGGTACCATGCCACGTCCTACCGGCACTGGTGTCATGTCTACTCGTATCCCCACTGGTACCGGCATTGGTGGTGGCCACATGCCTATGGTCTCTGCCACCTACACTCCCACTGCTACTCCTTCCTCTCTTCCAGACCAGTCTAACGGAGCAGGACGTCTCGCTGGGTTCTCCCTCGGTGCCATCATGGCTGCCTTGGTTCCTTTGGCTTTGTAAACTACGGCATCAACGGAATTCATGCATACGGAGGCATCTTTCTTTCACGGACTTTTTTAACTCTTACCAACAAAAAAAAATCCTGGTTTCTTCACTTTTCATTCAATAGTTCGAATACCCAAAATAAGGAATCCTGTTTTTCTTTCTTTCTTTCTTTTTTCTTCCATTCCTCTGTATACCCTTATCTCCCATTTTCACTTCTTGTCTTTGTCTCTGCCCTCTTTCAACACTAGATTAATGGCCTTCCCTTTTCATTCTCTTGGGACCTGCAGGCGGTGAATATCAGCAGCAATGGAGTCTTGTGTATCATGGCAGTTACGGTTTTCCCCTTTTTGCTTTTTTGTTTCCCCTAGCTAGAATAATCAAGAATGGAATCCAGGTACATAACCATATTTTAACATTCGTCTCCATATCATCTACCTAATTTCTAACTCTATCAACTCTATCTACCGGTAGGAGGGTAGATATCTCCGTAACTAAATGCATTGAAGTTGATATTGCCTAATCGGGCAATTTCACGGCGACGGAGTTGACGTTGGTAGGTTCTTCGTTGAAGTCAAGCATTTCATTGGCCGTTCTTATTCATACGTATAGCTAGTTACTTAGACTATATTGGTGTACTAATGTGTTAAATCCGTAGTCGAGTCTGTGATTCAATGGCGATATCCTCGCACTTAACATCTTCCTTGTCAGAAGTAAAAAAATAAATTCTTAATAATATCAACGGTAATAATTAGGATAAAGACCAACTCCTAGGATAAACCACGATAAAGAGATGTCACTCGACAATAACCAGCATCATTGTTTCCAATTATCACCATTTCAAGTGTCGGGACCTATCAAGAAGCCACCTTTTTAGACGGACAGTCCCTAACTCTTTTCGTTGATTGTGTATATGCTGCTTGATAGCCACCAGATAGCTTCATCTCCTTTGAGCAAACATGAGTGAAGCAGCCGTAGTCAACTCCTTGAATCTAGAGTAAATCACCTCAATCACGCTTGGCCGATGGGCTTTAAGGAAGTAGATAATTGAGGGCAGAGTTGGCGACATATTCCATGTATTCGGTGTTCAGCAGCAGCTCATCAGGGATATAGGCTCCTGGATAAGCCCTTCTGTAGTTTATGCCTGGTATATAAAAGCTGCTTGAGTTGGGCCCCTTCGATGATAGATATTGCATACAACTATACAATAACCACTATCGATCAACGGTACCGTTCAGCGTCCTGGAGATTGTTTTTATACCCATTCTTATCATCTTGTCGCCCGCATCAATATCAAAAAGCAATCCGTTTTTTTTTCCCATCCCAATGGCTTCCTCACAAGATCAAGGAACCCAGGTGAGTTGGCTGGTGTTGATATCCCCCATCCCCTTTAGATGCCCAGGCTAACAGAGAACAAGACGGTCTCAGCTTCTGCCCGAGGTAGGTATACCCCTGGTAAAGCCGGGAATGCCGCTAGAGAGCTAACACCAAGTCATCTAGGTCGTAAATGGAGCGATAACGAAGAAGCATGGCTGGTCGTAAACTCCATGAAAGACATCACAGTACCATGGCTCTATGCAAACTTCCCCTACCCAGGCCGTAGCCAAAATAGCATCACAGGCCATCTGGCAGACATGCGCCTTCATAACCGTCTATCTCGTAAATGGCGACACAAGACCTGGGACAATGAGCCGCCATATTCCCTTCGTGAAGACATCGAGATCATGCAATGGCACGTCTGGGGCCGTGAACACATTGACCCCGAAATATTCGTGGCCAACAGCGTGCTGGAGGCAGCATCATCGCTAGAGCAAACTACCTTTGCAGGGACGAGGAACTAGTCGAAAAAGTAAGGGAGGCTGAAGAAGCCGCTCGTGATGCGCTGGATGCCAGAGACGAAGCATGGTATGATGCAAAGGAGGAGATTCCTGAAGAATCCGTTGACCCCAGCGCCTTGAGGATGATGAATCGGATTCTCTTCCGGACAGAGAGCGATACCATTGTTAAGATATGTGATGCCATATCTAAATCTCTTGCGAATAGAGATGATTTCTCGTTATCATCCTCCGAGAAAGAGGAAGGAGAGATTGACGCCGAAAATGAGGATGCCAATGACGAGGATGCTGATTATGAGGATGCTGAGGACGGGGATGCTGGGGATGAGGCATGAAACATGAGGTCGACTGGAGGTCTGTGACGCCCGAGCGGATAGTAAAAGTCGAATTGTCTGAGGCCACTTTCAAAATGCGTCCTAGATAGCGGTCATTTCTGCATGGCAGGGTATTTCTCGTTTCTCGCTCATGAGGTCCCTCTTTTGTTATAGGTAATTTGGTTCGTAGATAGCTCAAACTGGACCTGCAGATCTTACTAGCGGTGTAGAGAAAATCTGTCACAGCATCAATCTGCGGCTGCAGAGTTCCATATTTCGGCTTATCTGCGTCGGTATGCGGGAGAAAGAGGTTGTATGCGTGTAGGTTTTCTCTATCAGGAATCTCCAACGTAACTCGATATATCTTCCCGTTCTTGATTAATTCCGCGATACCATCTCGAGTATTAGCAAGGCGTGCTGCTTCAGGTGAATTTAGCATGACCTGTTCCTGCAAAATTCTAGATAACATTTCCGCTACCTTGTCGCCAAGTGCGCTTCTCGCTTCTCCATGTGAGAAAATAAGACGCAGATTCAGACTTAATAACACCTTCTGCGTTAATGTAGACAAACTGAAATTTGAGCTCTAGGCAGCTGATGTGATTCTGAGTTAGGAGAAGCCTAGCCTTTATGCTCAATCTCGGATGTGCTGATTGTGGCTGGGCCGACTCAGCTAAATCGTGGTCGTATAATTCTGGTGAGAACTCTGGGCCTCCATTTGTGCCCCTGCGACAGCTTCCCAGCTAACTTTTCTTCATTGGGTGATTCTGGAGACCGGTTCGCAACGTAGGCATGGCCATCATTCATAAAGGAGTCAATAGCATTCACCGTTTCTTGGCGCAATCAAATATAGATTTCGGGAGCTTTAGTCTATTAGTACCTTAATTTTGTATTAGATGTAGCAAGGATATAAATACTAACTTTTTATCGTAGCTTATAGAGCGTATATAACTCATGCAACACGTATCGTTACTGCATCCTCTCAGGTTAAAAACGCGTCTAGAATTAGCGACCATGAAATATCCCGAGGAAGAACCCAGCACACTTTTACACACGAAGCATTTCCGCCTGGGAATCCTTAGTAGGCTAGAGGAATCCTTAACGAGGTTGTAGATATTACTTAATGATTATTCCATTAGGAGTGTGGAGAGGGAAGAAGACTGAGGAGGGCGGTCTTCTTTTGGCCCGTTAAGTAGTGGTACTGAAGAAAACTCTGCAGGTCAAGGGTGAGATTAGAGTAGATGATAAGTTGTACTTCAAGTTGGAAACATCTGGGTATAGAGGTGGAGAGAAGAGTGGGAAGAGTGCGCTTCTCTCTGGCTGTTGGATAGTGGTGCTGATGAAAAATTTGCAGCCTAGAGGGACGAAGGCTCGCGTGGACAGGACAGGACGGGATGTGGTAGAGGTGGTTCCGCCATAGTTATATCTGCCGTATAATATGTGGAGCTTATATTGTTCAGCCATTCGGGTGTATAGGCTAGCGTAGTCTTCTGGTATTAAGTAAATTAGGCATATCATTATACCATAGTTGTATATCATACTCAGGATTTTCAGTATCAAGAGGTAGCAGCAGGCCATCTTTATATCTGTACTTGCAAGCCTTTTCGCTCCTGGCGTAATTCCGTTTGACATGAGCAACTCCTCCATGACGCGGTTGTGTTTGATGTTTCGGGTATATAACACAAAGAAAACAACTCCAAGAGTGTAAAAATCAAAAGCATAAAGAATAAATGAAAATGTCTTGTAATGTAGAACACACCGTTTCAGCGATGATGGAAAGACGTTGAAACGTTGTCGTTAACTTGTTAGCCAGCGCCAAGAGAGTTTCGGGATGACGTAACTAGTTATTTAGCTAGATACAAGCTTTGACTTTCTACTATGGATCTGAGGACCACAAGCAAGTGCTAAGAAGCAAACAAACAAATGAATGTTTTAAACCCACTGGAGAAGAATGTTTCTGTTTCTGTTTCGGCCAATTTAAAGACATTTCTACCTCTTTGATTCTTTGTCCATAGTAGTTGTCTTAATCTTAACACAGACTGTATTTCGGCTTCAGCTAACTGGCATGTTACTCTATGTGTAATATAAGCAAGCTAAAATACACGATAACTCCTTGTCTCGTGTCACCCGTATAACGCTGCTGTCTGCCGCCTAGAGGTAGGGGAACCTATGTTATGTTGTTGAAAAGTCCGTTGAAGGAGTATAGAATCGCCTCGTGGTTCGAACGAACGATGTGTCCAGGAAGAATATGGAGGGGTCCCGTAGATGAAACATTAAATGTATAGATAAAGGGGGTGGAAGGATATGCCAAAACCAGTCGTCGTGGGCGCTAGTATGGTATGCAGAAGATGTAGTAAGTGGGACAGGACGTACCGCAGACTGTCGAGATCACTAATACCACGAGAAGATCAAGCAAGTCAAATCTGAAAACGCGGTAAGCTGTTCCGGACAGATGCCCGAGAGTGATAAGGTGGAAGAAGGTGAAGAGGGCAGGGAAGGGGAGAGAAGGAGGGAAAGGTGAAATGAAGTGATTAGTTACGCCTCTTGGGCCCAGCGCTGTTCACGAAGCGGCATCTTCTCGCCGGCCTTTGAGCGGGTGCCGTCTTGCTCGTGTCTCCAGGCCCAGTACTCCCCGAGACGCTCCTCGGCGTAAGAAGCATAGTCGAAGTCAATTCTGGAGATGGTTGCTTGGATCAAAGCCCAGACGCCCCTAGCAGTGATATGTTAGCATTTGTGCATGTTTGTGATAGGACAACGTCTATCATACCAGTAAAAGCCAGGGAGGCCACGGTAGCGATCAACGTCAGCAAAGAGGCTGTCGACGGCCTTCTGCCTGGACTCGGAGAGCTCGCTGTGCTGGGCGAAACTATCGACGTATTCCTCGAGAAAGCTTCGGCGGACAGATCGAGTTGGTAGCCTCGAGTAGTCGCAGTCGTAGCCGGCCCATTCGGCAAAATGGTTTGCTAGGTCAAAAGCTGCTGGCGAGGGGATGGCGTACTCATAGTCAATGAAATCGACTGTTTCCGCAGCGCCGTCTGCAAGAGTAGACTCCTTTGGTCGGGGCTGGATGATGACATTTGCACTTAAAAGGTCGCAGTGGGCAAAGACCAGCTGTGTAGGTAACCAAAGTTAGCAATAGGGACTCGATATAAATATATATGTAGAGAGATAAGACTTACTCCTTCGTCTCCGAGGCCGGATCCATCATCGAACTCGGCAACTATTCTTTCATATTCCTTCTGAAGGTTTCTTCTTCGGGTCCGTTCCTGGTCCGTGCTCTTTGGCAGTTCGAGGATCCAGTTCTGCAGCGTTGCCCAGAGGTTCGGCCCGTCGAAGCGAGTGTTGATAGGTATGATGTCATCCTCAACGGCGGTGGACTCCTGAACGGGTTTGATCTCGGAGTCATTAGAGCCGAGAGAGAGGGAGTCACCGTCCCGGGTCCCCGGCGAGGGTGCATCGGAGGGTGCATCGCTGATGGGCAGAGCCGCGTGCCATTGGCCGAGTCTACGAGCAACTCCGCGCCAGATGGCAGGCTTGGTGAGATCGTCAGGAGATGCCACTTGTCCCCGGACAAACCGATATAAGAGTCCGTTGGTGAACCGGGCCAGGAGCGGTGGAGCAAGGCCTCGAGAGGCGAGAAGGGCATGGGATCTGGTCTCCCCTATAGTAGGCGATGGATGATTTGCTGCGAGTTAGCCAGGGTGGACAAGCGGACAGACAGCCAAACGAGCCAGGGCGACCAAAGCGCTCCAGTTGGGCTGTTGCATGGGGAAGTCTAATGGAGCGCAAGGGACATACGTTCTCTGTCTATGATGATTTCAGAATTATTTCCATATGCTCTCATCAACACAGCCTCTTTATCAATTTCTTCTTCAGAAAGACCGGGAGCCCTGAGGGTGATTTTCAACAGCTACGATGGAAACTTGTCAGACCTGCATGGGGAGAAAAGGAAACGATGTATTGTTTTTATGAAGCAGCGAACGAACGACAAGACGAACGACAGGTCTACCATGCTCGCAGCCATGATGATTATGATGATGATGATGATGATATACATACCGTATTGGTGATTCCGTCGGTGAAGCGCACGAACTCAATCTTACCTTGAGCATCCTTCCAGTGCGGGTTGACGGTCAAGACGAGCCTCAACGCCGAAGCCTGCGAGTCAGCATGATTGTATGACAGCGGGATGCATCTGACTTCATGGCAGCCAACCGGCTGAGTACACGCAGAGGGCATTATTCTTGTGCTGTGTGTGTGGTGGTGGTGTGTATATATGTGTATATGGGTGTGTATCTGAGAGTGCTGGTGTGTGAGGAGATGATGGACGGTGTCAAGTGTCTACTGAGAAGAGGTACGAATAAATAGGTATTTCACCAGGCAGGCCTGCTTCTCCGAAGACGACGAAAACAATATCGACTCGCTTATCGTGGCTATTTGGAAAAATAGGACAGCAGTGAGCCTTGGGGGTCTGACACTTTATGTGAGATGACGTTTGAAGGGTTCCGTCCCCGCAGATGACCTCTGCCTGTTTTCTTCTGCGAATCGGGCGATCAACGGGCGGAGACTGATGTGCCGGTGGTGCAAGGCAGGGTATGTCTGTATGTAACTCCGTACCTCCAGCGAGCACAGAAAAACGGACGGCGCAGCGGGTGGGAAGATGAAGCTGGTGTCGCGTGTCAAGCTGCGATAAAAGGGGCAGCAGAAGCGAATAACACAACCTGCAGCGTTTTCTGCCAGGCAAAAAAGAAAAGAAGCAGCAAAAAGGGTCTCGTGCCCACTTGCCGCCCTCAGCGCGCCTAGTCCGCTTTGGGACAGGACCCACGGGGCCCTCGCGCTAAACTAGAAATGGAACAGCATGTGAAAGTATTAGGTAAGGTAAGAATACACGTGACACTGAGTCAGCATCATGAGTAAGATCTTAAGTAATGAATCATGTGACTTGCTTACTTTGAGGCCTATAAAAGCGCAAATCTCTGCCTTCTACTTTCTCTTCCTTTCTTCTTTTCTTTCCTCACATCAGTAGAGGTTTACTACATGTAAATTCCAATCCCGAGGCACCGCTACGGCGGCCTGCTGAAGGTTGCTCCATTTCACCATGGGTTTCCTTCCGTTCCCGGCTTCGGAGAGGAGATCTCGTCGTCCTTTTTCCCATACTTTTATGGCTGAGCGTTCATACTTCTTCCGTTGGCTTAGCTGTGGAGGACACGATACATCCATCTTTCCGAGCCCATCTCCATGATGCTGGATTGGTCTGCTCGAAGAGAGGATCAGAGGGTTACTCTTGTGTTTTATTTTAGGTGTTGGAATTTTCAGCTGGTGAAAATTTCACTGTTTGTGCGATTTAACAAAAATTATAGAAATCAATACAAAGTTCATATATTCCTCTCAATATTCATTCGCCTCGTTCGCCTCATTATTTCATACCATTATTGGTTTTTATTCTTATTATTTCTCCAACTGTGATAGCCCTTTCATGCCCTCGTCGGCCGTCCTGTTTGAATAATCTCGCCTGTCCGTGGGTCGGTACTCCGCAGGCTCTGCCAGCTCTCCCCATCCGCCTTGGCTAGCGAGAACTCAAGCTTCGTCCCCATGATCTTATAGCTCGACTTCTCCGTGTCAATTGGTGCAAATAGGGTCCAGGTTTCCGTGTATCGTTTGTTCTCTGCAGTGGGAAGGTCAAGCTCTATCGTGGTCGGAGTTGAAAATTCCACTTTGGCCGTATCCTTGTCTATCTTCTTCAGGTACACCGAGGCGATCACCGTTGACGAGGTTTGGTAGTAGTCAGTCCTACCATCACCACCAAACCCAGTCAGTACCTGAAATACGCGACAGCAGCATGTAAAAAAGGAATGAGAAATAAAGCTCGACCTACCGCACATGGTTAACCTTCTCTTCAGCCGACTTCTTCCCCTTGCCAATAAACAAATGACGATTCTTCGTCGTGCAACCAGGCATCTTCAAGAACTCGTCGAATTCCAGCACTCGCCGCTTACAGCAGCTCCATCCTTTACTTCCCTCGTGGAAAACGGGGTATCCAGGATGGTGAACGCATTCTTCTCCTTCCCTAGATCCAGAACCGCTATACGTCTTACCGCATCCTTTCCGACGACATGTTGCTCCCTGCTGTATCTCCAACGACGGATCGTCCGACTCGGACTCTGGCGGGGCGGGAGTGCCCGTGGGTGTAGGCGTGTGAGCTCCGGTTGCACTAAGAGAGGGAGGTAGCGCAGCCGATACTGCGATAGGTTTGGTCTTGCCAACGGGAGCATCAGCAGCAGTAGGGGTCGGCACTGGGATATCGGGAGTCTCTTTCTTTGGTTCAACCGGCGTATCGTCGACCGTAGAGTGTTTTCCCGTCGTACATGGTGGGATGGCAAGAAATTCGTCAAAGGTCAGCACTCGAGGTTTGCAGCATTTCCAGCCTATAGACTCGCCCAGTCAGCAAGTACTCCGTACGGTCACAGAATAAATAGCAAAGTATTACTCCGTAAAAAGACATCTCGACCATGGCGAAGAACCAACCTTTCTGTCCCTCGTGGAATATTGGCGGGCCAGGATGGTAGATGCACTGCTCATCAGCGTCCGAAAACACCTTGCCACACCCCTTGTGAACACACTTCTCGGCCATATTGTCCGTGGCAGTACTAGAAAAGCACAATTGAGCTCTTCACCGGGTATGGAGGGGTCGTATATAGTATATTTAAATCAAATCAGCTGGAGGAGCAGCGGTGGGCGAAAGCGAAAGCTCGTCTGGAGTTGCTTTTTCTTATCGTCCTTATCGAAGGTTCTGGATAGGAAAAGTTTTCTTCTTCCTCTTGTCAACCAAGATAAACAACACGGAAAGAAACCAGAAGAAAAGTGCCAGCTGAACGACGGAGATCGAGCTCGTTATATACTTCGTATTTACTGTTGAAAATGCGACCTACTCTTTCGCTCCTGCAGAATGCTCGGCTGACGCTCTATTCGCGGCTGAACTGTGGGCTATGCGAGACAGCCAAACTCAACCTGAACAACCTCCGGCAACGAAAGACAATCGAATACACGGAGATAGACGTGATGGCTCCCGGGAACCAGCAGTGGAAGGACATGTACGAATTCGATGTTCCCGTTCTACATGTCGAAAAGAAGCTCTCCGATGGCCGACTGAGCGATCCAAAGAAGCTGTTTCATCGGTTTACCGAAACAGAGGTTCAAAAGGCTATTGATGAGTGCTAGTATATCTACTTCCTAGATATATCTAAACCGGCAAACAAGCTATAATTGACTATACCTGTCAATCTACTCTCCCTTAGCCACCTTCAAGGTCTGGCCCAGGAAGATCGGAAGAGCAGTCACGTCGGAGATAACGGAGACCTATCGAACTCGGGAACTGAATGAGCATATTGCTGAATTGCAAAGGCGAAGCTGAGGATGGGGGAAAAGAGCAGATCTCACCATGTGGAAGCCCTGGTCAATATACTTCTTCGCAAACTCTCCTGATGGGCAGTATATGCCTGCTTTCTTCCCATTGTCCGTTGCGGCTTTACGGATCCGCTCAATAGCCGCTTCAAGATCGGGATGGAACTCGGCGGTAACTACGGGTCGGCCAATGTTGTTTCCAAGATCCCATGGCCCAACTAAGAGAACATCGACGCCGGGGACCTGGGCAATTTCTTCGACCTATCAAGTTATTTAGCTGTCTGCATGCGGTACATAGCCAAGGAGCAAGGCGAATTGTGCAAGAGATATAAGAGGGGCGTACATTGTCAAGAGCAGATTTGGTCTCTATCTGCACAGCTGTTATTAAAGCGTCGTTCGCATGCTGTAGATATTCTATCGGCGACACATTGCCAATTGAACCCATTGCAAACGGAGATCCAAACCCTCTCTTCCCGACTGGAGGAAACTTGGCCGACTGGACCAGTCTCCTTGCATCATCCGCCGTTTCGAGCAGTGGAACAAGTATTCCGTGAGCTCCCGCGTCAAGTGCACCTATTCCATCGTCCATCAGCATTGTATTCAACCGTGCTAAGGTTGCAGTAAGCATGAACATACGCTTAACCATCCACCCTTCGTTGGCTGCAATCCTGACAACAGGACTGACGCCTGTAGCTGCAATAGCCCCAACGGCTTCATGCATTTGGGCATCTACAGCCAACATTAGCATCCAGCCGTATACACACACAGCTATTATGCAAATGCAGTGGGAAAGTACCGTCGATATTGCCATGCTCCGTATCAACGAGAACCCAGTCGAATCCGCATCTCGCCATAATGCGGGAGAGGTTGGCGCCAGGAAACATCTGCCAGACACCATATGCTGTCTTCCCAGCCTTGAGGACGGACTGGAGTCGGTTTGCTGCCTGCATTGTCGATGCCATGTTTGAAGCTGGTGACGTGAAGTACCTATTTCCTAGTCTAACGAAAGAAGAAGAGTATCTAGAGTAAAACATGGATTGCAATGGAGTCAGCCTCTATCACGTTGCTTGCGCCGGCTTGTATCTTATATCTAGTTCGATCGTTGTATACGAGAGACGCTGCTTCTCCGCCTTGTTGTTGTCATGCATGGATGGGATTTTAGCCGAAGTCGCCGAACAAGCTACTTGACATGACACAGCAGGACTTGACATGGTTAGACCGTCCCTCAACAGTATCAATAAACTAGTAATATAGATTACTCCCAAGGAGGCCTTCTCTATGGTTCTTGATGTATAATTCTTATGGCGATCTTCCTTACTCGAAATTACACATTCATACAGTCAAACCGAGCTATATATAACGTTCGGGGTCAACGCCGGGTGACTAAGAAAGCTGTCCGTATTATGGCCTAGAATTCAATACAGAGTTTTGGTATGGAATAGCCAAGTCAAACGACAATTACCGAGCAAGATATGACATGCAATGAGCTGTCAAGTGATATCTTCTATCTGAATGACAGCCTCAGACAATCTATTATTTTCATTACTCTCAAGGGTATTGTCCTCGTTGCGTTGATTGAGGATTTTACCACATTCTGTTTCCTTCAGCTCGACTTGTTGATGCCAAGAGGGGTCTCGGGAAATATATATTCCATCAGCTAATGACTAAGCGAACCTTTAACCTTAACTCAGAATAACGTCGGCGGCAACGCGAAACGGGGATTGAGAAATAATGAAGATAATAACAGAGGAACGAATGATAAGACTAGCTAAAGGTTGGATGCCGGCTGTTCAATAAGTTTTGGAGCCATCACCTTTCAGAGATGGAGCTCGATGATTCAACGTCGCCTTCCGAAGGCGAAGAGGACGGCAGCATAGACGTGCCTCAGCCATCTAGTAAACTCGGTCGCTGTGAACCTTGCCGTGCTGGGTATACGAAATGCGATGGCCAAACACCCGGTAAACAACCTCATTCTCTGCCAGAGGATTGCTTATACTAATGTTTGCAAGTAGTTTGTGGCCCTTGTGCCAGGAAAAACACCAGGTGCATCTTTTCCGTGACACCAACTGCGAGGGCTTCTCTTTCCGGCTACACCTCCAGATCATGTCTAATGTGTAGGATCAAGAAAAAGGCATGTGGCCGTGAGCTACCATGTATGCAGCCTAAAATGCAATATACCCTTTACAAAGCGACAGAAACTCACTATTGATAATAGCATGCGCTTCGTGTATTCAACGGAATGTCATTTGTCAATACGACTATGCCCCAATATCCCGCGTACAAATGTATGTCAATATAAATAAACACCATGGAGGGACCGTACGACCAATCAACTAATTTGTATCTATAGGCGAAAACCAGGTCAATTGGCTAATCTCAACCCCTCAGGACGCCCTGCTAAATCTCCAAGGCTATCCATGCCAGCACGTCCTGCGGATAGAAAGCGTCCATTAACGCAAATGGATGATAGAAGACAGCCCAACAAAGGCTCAAGTGTCATTTCAGATGACATATCTGACAGTGAAACGGATGTCCGGTCCACTGCGAAGTCCGCATCTGTTACAAGTACAGACCTCCTGCAACTTTTTCAGCGTTCTCCTAAGAAGGACATGGAGCCGCGAAGTAATTCCATTGAGGTTATGGAGAACGGTACTCCGGGAACCATGGATAGCGATATGCAAGACACATCTACATGGCTGGCGGAACTCAAAGAAGCGATTCTACATAGGACGGACATGTCAAAACCAGGCTATGGCACACAAGCAAAACGAGAGCTTGCTAGATTGTCACAGACACAGAAAGACAACCCCGGGATTATGGATATAACGCCAGATAAAGGAGATCTCACAATGCCTCCTCGAAAAGTCGCAGATCGGTTGCTTGCCGTTTACCTTACTCGTGAATATGTTAATCTGCCGATATTTCACCTACCCGTTTTTCGCGCCCAGTATACCAAAATATATACAAGTGAGAAAGCTCGAGATGATAAGGCCATTCATCATGCCCTATTAAACGTTACATTTGCGTTAGGTAGTATTGCCACGGATCCCAATAACCACTTTGATGCCTCGATGTATTTTATCAGAGCACAGCGCCTTCTTCGACTAGGTTCTCTAGGAACAGATAGTTTGGCAACTATACAAGCACATATTCTTGTTAGCCAATACTTAATTGCGATTAACAACTTTCGCGCCGCATGGAAGTCCATTGGACTTGCAATCCGTATTGCCGAGACACTCCGGCTTCACCTCGCTGCCGGAAGCCAGCATTATGAGGATAGGGTTGACAGAGAGCTTGCGAGAAGGCTCTGGCACAGTTGTATACTTCTTGAAAGGTTTGTTTCATTAGATTGATGCATTGGTCGAACTCCTACTAACTATTAAATAGGACGATAGCTCTAAGCTTGGGTTCAACAACAATTGTAACCCCACGATCATTCCAAGCGCCACTCCCAACCCCTCTTGAAAATGAATACGTCGATGTCATTTTCGGAGGAACGCCAGCGGAATCCTCTGAACGGCCATCAATTATTGAATTTTTCACTGCTTCTACTCGTCTGATGGAGAGATATGAAGACATTGTTGCCGTGCAAGAGGCATTTCGCCCTATCATTTCCCATCCCCATAAGCTTATGGACACATGTGAATTCACGAACCTCCTAACCGCAGATCGGAGGCTGTGCAACTGGATGACTGCTCTTCCTCCCTTCTTGTTACCAGGAAGTACTCACTCCTCATTAGAAAACCCGGTTGCAAAGCGACAACATAACATTCTCCGCATAAGGTATCTCACCATCCGGCTCCTCTTGTGGCGGCCCCTCCTGGCGCTTGTCGCTGCATCTCCGGATCTAATCCACAGCACAGCCAGCTCCGATAACCCAGACAAAGCTAGCGAAGTTATTGACACACCTATAATACACACAATAATTTCCAGTGGTGCCTGCAAATGTATACTATCCGCCCAAGAAATAATAAACTTCTTAACCGAAAGTCGATTACCTAACGGGAAAATCGATCATCAGGCACCACTTCCTGTGTGGTGGGAAAATGTTACATCAGTCTTCACCTGTGCGCTCATTTTCCTTGCTGCTCGCCTCTGCCCCGTTGAACTTCATAAGCAGTTACCTGGAGGCAGTGACTCCATCGAAGTGGGCTGGAAAAGATGCATTGAGCTATTCAATGAATATCGAACATTCAATTCCAAGGCTGGAACATATCTAATTGCTATAGAGTCTCTTGCTACAAGTGTAGCTGAGATAGCTAGCACCGATGTATCCCGTGCCAATGACAAGGAATCAGACTCTCCGCGGATTAATGACGTTACATGGCTAGAAACGCTGCCAGATGATCTGCCTTGTTTAGTGTGACCCGAGCCGTCGCTTTGGTTGCATAGTACTTTGTATAGTACTGTTGTTCCAAGCGACAAACTGGGATAGCGAATTATAACTTGGGCTATGCACCAGAATTCTGCAGCAGTCAGAAGCAAGAGTTGTTGTTATTTTGATTTCCAATGCAATTTTTAGAGGAACTTTGCGGCCTTTTTTCTCTCTCTTGCTCTGGAGTACGTAATGTAGTAATAGCAACAAGGACCCTTTATAGGGGTTCCGTCTATAGATTTTTTTAGCCCTTCTACCGTAGAGGGCAGTCGTTCTATGAAGTAACCTAAAATATAAAGTTACTATAACGCGAGTAAACTTGAACAAACTTAGGCTAACCAGGTCTCCCTAGCAAAGAGGCTATTCATTACCGTAAATACTATTTAACTGATAGGTAGAAGGCCTTATTGGCCCTTTATTAGTGTATTTAAACAAGTACCCATTGAATATCAACATTACCAAGTAGAGCTAAAATCGAATATCCACAGCAAACTTACTCCAAGATTTCTTACAAGGTTTTCTTAGCTGGTGATATAGATGATCCCTAGCTGTTATAGACTTGCAGTACGCAATCGTTAAACCATCAGGCAAATACCAATGAAGACGCATCATCTCTCATAATTTTGCAGCCGGCCCCAGCTTCTTAGCTTCAGCCTTGAAATTCTTGACAAGTTGTCGAACTGCAAGATCAAGTAATACGTCTTCGGAACCCCCAGGTATCCGAGCTCCAGGAACATCCCTCAATATTTCTTAAAAAAAAAAATTAGTAAAGATCCAAGTAAACCAAGGAAAACGTGAAAATAGGGTAGAGCGAATCAGCAAAGCACTTACTCTCAACTAATTCTCCCTGTCCTGACTTTGTGAATCCCAGTCCGCCGAAGAGTAACACTGCCACCTGAGCACACTCATTGAGAACCATCCCAGCCTTCGCCTTGGCCAGAGCAGTCAAGCCACCCAACTTCCTATCTCCTTCTGCCTTTGGCATATGGCTCATTTGATATAAGAACTGCTCTACCCAAGCCCACATGGACTCCAGTTCCGCACCGGCCTTAGACAACCTGTGCCTTACCACAGGCTGGTCCATCAGGGTCTTGCCAAACGCTTCGCGCTTCATGCAGTATTCGACGGCGGCACTGAGAGCAACTCTAGCCTGACGAGTAACTCCAACAGCAATGGTGAGGCGTTCGTGGTTGAAATTGGTCATTATATACTTCATACCGTGTCCCTCTTGGCCGATGAGGTTTTCAACCGGTACCTTGACATTGTCCAGTTCGATGTACGTGGTGCCACCGCAAACTTGACCTGAGACCGGGAGTCGACGCATCGTTACGCCTGGATAACCTTTCAATGGCACGACTATCATAGATAGACCGGCTGGTCCTGGGCCACCAGTACGTACGGCCATAGTGGTATAATCTGACCAGATTCCATTGGTGATCCTAGCACATATATGAGCTGATATGTTTTAATTGATCGCCGATAGACGTATAGTAAGGGTAATATGTACCATTTCTTCTCGCCATTGATAATGTAATGCTTCCCATCCGCACTCTTCTCTGCAGTGGTAGTAATATTCGCAACATCACTACCTGCATCAGGTTCTGTGATTGCAATGCACGACCTGACCTTGGCAGTCAACATATCAGGGAGAAATTTCTCCTGTAGCTCCCGGCTACCAAATGCAAGCATAGGCGGAATTCCAAATGCAAAACCGGCTGTCAATGAGGTCGGGGGCCCGCTCAGCCCACATCTCGACATCTACATCAACGTTAACATACGCTGGTTTGTAGTGTACAAGTGAGTGATCACTGACCTCATCCAAATATATACCGGTGTATATTAAATCCCAGTCTTCAACCTTGACACCCAAGATATCATGAATACCTAGCTTCTTCAGCCATGCAACTGGTAAAGGAGATGGTAGGTTTGGAAGTAGCATGTTGTGTTTGCCAAATACTTCAAATACGTGAGGTGGAACAGTGCCCTCCCGCTCCCATTCCATGGCATGGGAATGCAGATGCTCCCAGATAAATGCCCGGCATGCTTTCTGAAACCGACGATGAGATTCTGTGTAGTATGGTGAGGGAAGGCCGCAGAGATATGGCGGTTCGGAAAAAGGAATTGGATTTGGCGAGTTTGTTCCCATTGTTATCGTGCTATGTATGCTTCTCTTGAAACCTTAACTAAATTATCCTAACAAACATAAAGAGAAATAAAGGCCTATGAATATGTTATATATTGAATCGGTCGTCAATAAAAGAATTTCAGCTTTGGGATATATATATGTATGTCGGTTGCTTCGAAGATGAGAAAAGTGGAGATGTTCATGCAAAAGCCGGGGTAAGCTCGACTTGGGCCGAGGCACGAATCACGTGAACATAACCTGGCTCGTGCGTGGAAAGTTAAGCGCCACCACCGGTAAGCCAGACATCAGGGATTTCAGCCAGGCACACTACAACACACAGAAACTACGACTAATTTGATAGTTATAAAAACAAAAAGATATAGAGCAAACCCCCGTATACATACAACACCTGAAAATGAAAACGAAACTTGGGAAGGGAAAGCAGACAAGACGCCTCCAAACGACAAAATAGTGAAACAAAAACGAAACCAAGGTAAGCACCGCATGTGTTAGTTAATAGTTAAAGAGGTAAAAAAGAGCTCTACTGCCATATCATCTCCACAGCTCTTTGATCCAACGAATAGTTGGATGTTGGTGCCGTTTTGCCCAGAACATTTAGATGTATTATTATACCGGATTGGCCATGGTGGTAGGGGAAATGGCTAGGCCAAGACCAGTTTCTGCTGGGATGTTCGAAGGTGTTCCTCCGGTAGTCGGTATTGCCCGCTGGGGCGACGAAGGCTGCTGCTGTTTGGACTGTTGATGGCTGCTTTTCGGTGTAGTCCCCGCCTCCGCAGGTGTACCTTGGCTAGCATCACTGAACGCTTTATCTCCCGCTCCAGCTCCGCCATTGCTGCTTCCGCCGGTACTGCTGGTAGTTTTGCCTCCTCGTTTGACCATTTTGCCGAGCACGCTGACGAGTTCCGCTGCATCTTCGAAGCTTTCATCGTCCATGCCCTCCTGTGCATTGTAGACGTCTGCAATGGCTTGTTTGGCCAGGCGCCTGCATGCTTTTGAATCATTCAGACAGTCATATAGATATGCAGCGTACTCAAGCTTGACTGACAGACGGATCGGATGGGAACCTGGCAGGAGCTGATCTGCTAGAGCAGCTACATAGGTGAAGCATTCTGTTGCTCGTGGGGTGTAGTCAATCGCCGGTAGAATGAAAGAAGCTGCGAATTTGGGCTGCGCTGGTGCTTCCAGCCCTGGAGGTTGTAGATAGCCTCCAGCCCCAACAGGACCGCCCTCCGCTGGATGAGAAGACGCTGAGGCCGGTTTCGTGGACGACTCTGGCGCATTCCCCGCCTTTTGTCCATCAGTGGCAGCAGTTGAATTGACGATATCGACAAATGAAGCGGAACCAGGTAGAGCCTGGATACCTCGGTGGTACACACGCGGCTGGTTGTGGAAGAGCACAAATATGTGGTAAAAAGATGCTTGCAACTTATACGCTAGGACGCGCAGCTCCACATAATCTGCAACCATAGGATGCACATATTGCTCCACAATAATCAGTCCTTCCCTCGAGAGCCATAGGATATGATGGTATAATTGAAACGATTTTGTTTCTCTCGTAGGATCCAACCGCCGCAATTTTCGAGCACGGAGCAGCTTTTTGGATAATATGGCCGAAAGCCCCAGGATCTTATATAGCATGCCCGAGAGGAACGGGTTTGTTTCGCTGGTTTGGGTAGCAAAGTGACCAAGAAACTTTTGGTCTACTTCTGAGGATGCCATCCATATAGCGAACTCTATGGGTTCGGTGTAGTCCTGCCATAAGCGGGAAGCACAGATTAGCTCTCTGGTGTAAGAATGGCTTGGACTCAAGGGACCATGAGCGGAGGTGTTGAGCAGCTCTACGGCTGACATGGTGCTGCACGTTTATTGCCGGAGATATGGAGTATAATAATATATCAAAAGGAAAACAGCAGATGGGTCGGGGGGATGAGTGCCCAGAAGCATATAGAGCGACGGCTGGTGGCGGGGAACAGAAGTGCCAAAACATGTCTGAGTATTTAAGAACTGGGCTGATGGGAAACGAAACTTGTTCTCATAGTTTGTTTTTTCCTTTTCTCTTTGCTTTTCGGGGATATTTTTGTGACTGGCGGCTAGAGAGGAAAAAAGGCAAATGCGATGATCAGGGAAAAAAAACCGGGCGCTTACCTCTTAAAAATAGCACCACCGGCAAATTAAATGCCTTCCTGTCCGGTATCCAAGGTCCTCCTTTTTTCTTTGCCTGTGTAACTGGTTCTCAGAAGTTAACAGGCTGTTGGATGTCCGGAGTCGTAAAGTGACAGAGTTCGACGTCTTGGCCTCTGGGGTAAAAGCAACTGTATATCAACGAGCTGGAGTCTTTTCTCGGGAAGCTCAATGTACCCCCAAGGCGTCGAACGAGGCGCGATCTATTAGCAGCTAAGGGCCAAAGCTAGATGCTAGGCTAGTTTATCGGTAGTCTGCCAAGGGTCGATAACCATACGAAGCCCGACGTTTGTATGTATGGCTGGGAGCGCAAATCAAGTCGCTGATAAAGCGTAACGTCTATTGTACAAGGTGTGTCGGTGTTGAATTTCGAAAACTGGTTATGGACTGCTGGTGGTTAAAAATAATAGGTCGATTCTGGTGTGCTGTCGGTAACTGAAGCTTCGGCTCTAGTATACAGTACTCCCTGAAGACGGGGAGTTATAAAAAAAGGTAGTATTAAGTGACTATCCTTCACTTGATCGTCAGCATTATCCATCACATAAATGATACTAAAGCCTGGAGTACTCCGTAACTCTGTATCATTTTGGCAACTCGGGACTGAAGAAGACGTACCACGGTTCGACTCCTTAGCTCCACAGGAAACTCTGGGTCGCCGTGAGCCCTGCACCAAAGTCTGGAGATGCGCAACCAGGGTGAGAAACGAGAACAGACGATCGAAGAAGCTGGCAAAAGACGTGTATCCGACTCAATTCGCGATTCATTATCGCCCTTTATTCTCTTTGGCTGGGTTTTTGGTCTCTCTTATTCACAAACAAATCGCATCGGGCGAGAAAAGGGCGTCTCGCAAAAAGTAAAAACAGCAGTCTCAAGGGTTCAATTCAAGCATGCGTTAAAGAGATTGAGCAGCCATTGAGGTCCATCTCCTTGCTTGGGGTCGTTTTTCCTTTGGAGAGCCCGAGTTGGAGTGTCGGTAAAAAAAGAGTCGCTGCCCAAAAACCGACCAGGGGAAAAGAATAGTTAAAAGAAAAGGCGATGAACTCGATCAATTCTTCCCCATAACTAAGCCCAGCGCCGCTTAGTTTGTGTCTGTTGCCGTCGCACAGGAGTAACCCACTGATCTGGTGGAAGGAGGAGAGCAGCGAGGAGTTCAAGATGGCTGGCGATGGTGATAGTTAATACTTTTTGCTGACCGTCTGCAGGGGGCACACGGCGGACAGAACTCGAGAATCTGTATATTTAGAGCGGAAAAAGAAAACACGAGCAGCCTCGCTTCTCTTCCTACGACTCCCTCTCGTCTCTTCCTGTCTTGTCCGTCTCCCTTCCTGTCTTTGCTGGCGGAGGGATCCCAGCCTGGGAGCCTTAACTCGCTCGACTATCCCGGGCCCAGCAGCCCAGCAAGCCCACCGCCTGTTTGACGTGTCAGTCTCTTAGGCGCTCTGCTGCCCTGCGCTAGAAGACCCGACAGTCCGTCAAGGTTGCTGGCCACATCTACGACTCGCTGCTCGCCTTGCCCATTGCCACCTCATCTCGCCCTGCCATGCCCCGCCAGCGGACTCGAGGCGTCCCTTTTTTTCCCCGGAGACCGCGGCGTCATGTCAACGGCTTCCATGCTTTCGATATCAACCTTCGGCGTCGTCACAGGAAAGAGAACCAAAAAAAGGCCGAAGGGAGGCTTAGCCGGGTCATGTGATAGAGGAGCCTCCACTCGAGCAGCTTGCAGCTCCATAACGGATCATCTGGAGTTGCCACGGTCTTACCCCACCTTGCTGGTGTCTAGCTACAAGTGTCTATTAAGTAGATGTTGATGGATGCAAGAGGCGTTTCTCTGTATAGTTTGAATACGTTCTCCTGCTTGTTGTTTGTGGTTGTGTTACTCGTTGAGTTTAAAGATGGAGCTGACTAAGTTCTTATTAACATAGTATCAGGTGACTCGGGCGGGTATTAATATAATTCCGATATCTTATTATTAAGCACAATACCGTGCAAACAGCGCAATCATAGCTTAGTCATCTATCAAACTGCCCCTCGAGTTAACTAAGAGTCAGAAACACGAAAAGAAAGTCGAGCGAGGGGCTTGACTCAAGGTCGTTTTTATATCCAGACCTTTAGACACTTGACAATTACTCTGTTTCTTTCTTAAGCTCGTCGCATACCTATCCTGGCTCTTTTGCTGTAAAAAGAAACCGTGTCAGTATAAGATACCAGCATATAAATGCCAGAGATGGAGGCACCCAAGGCGGAGACAGTTGTCCCTGTCCGCGAAGAAGCACAGCCAGCTGCCACCACAGAACAGGAGATCAACCCCTGGGATGTGAAAGGTGCAAAGGATGCGCAGGGAAACACTTTAGCTTTCGACTATGTTGCTATTTCAAAGTGTGTTCATACCCCCTTTCCTCTTCTCACTTCTCCTACGGTGACCGCGTGCTAACTATCCGAGATAGGAAATGGGCAACTAAACTGATAGACGACGAGATCCTCCAGCGCTTCGAGCGTCTTACCGGACGCAAACCGCATCGTTGGTTAAGACGTGGCCTTTTCTTCTCCCATCGAGACTTTGACAGGATCTTGGACAAGTACGAATATGGCGAACCTTTCTTCTTGTACACCGGCAGAGGGCCGTCCAGTGATGCGCTACATCTTGGTCACACCATCCCTTTCGCATTCACAAAATGGTTGCAGGATGTTTTTGATGTTCCATTGGGTATGCCTCTTGTGTCTTTAGTGCATTTGTTTTGACAAACTCAGCTGATTGAATTTCTAGTTATCATGCTTACTGGTAAGCCTTCGATTTGTCGGAAGTGATATATATTGATATATACCTCAATACTGATAGCAGGAGGCAGATGATGAAAAGGCGCTCTTCAAGGAAAAACTCACCTTTGAGGAGACATACAAGTTTGGCCTTCAAAACGCAAAGGATATCATTGCGTGTGGCTTTGATTTGAAGAAGACCTTCATCTACAGTGACTTGGAGTACATCAAGGGCCCATTCCTCACAAACGTTTGGGAATTCTCAAAGCTACTTACATTCAACCAAGTCCGTGGTGCATTTGGATTCAATGAGAGGTTAGTGGCCATCATCCCGCATACAAGTTTTGGATGTAGACTAACAAATAATAGCACAAATATCGGTCGTATAATGTTCCCCGCAGTCCAATGGTACGTCGTTATCTCTATAATGAAGGAAGATTAGATATTGACTGGTAATAGTGCTGCCGCCTTTGCTACTTCATATCCAGAGATCTGGGCAGATAAGCCAGCCACAGATCGAACAAAAGCCATTGCCAAGATCCAGTGTTTGATTCCCATGGCTATCGATCAGGACCCCTACTTTAGACTCCTGCGCGAAAACTCTCATAGAATGCGTTTCCCTTCTCCAAAACCAGCATTGATCCACTCTCAGTTCCTTACCGCACTTCAGGGAGCCGGCGGGAAGATGAGCGCCAGTGATCCAAAGTAAGAATTAACCAATCCACTTGTTTACTTACCATAGTAACTAATATTTGTTGCAGCTCCGCTATTTTCATGTCAGATACCCCTAACCAAATTAAAGTAAGTTCAACCGAATTTCTCCGTTCTTTGTATCCGTTTGTCTAACATACTCAAAGAAAAAAATCAACTCGCACGCCTTTAGCGGAGGCCAAGAAACGGTCGAACTACATCGTCAGCTTGGTGGAAACCCTGATGTAGACGTTTCTTTCCAATGTATGTCCCCGCTTCCAAACCCCCACCCCCAACAAACGCCCGGCTATCCATCTAACACGATTTTTAGACATATCTTATTTCGAAGACGACGACGAAAAGCTCAAGAAGATAGAACAAGATTACCGCAAAGGTGACCTTTTGACGGGAGAATTGAAGCAAATAGCTATCGCCTTGTTGCAGGAATACGTTAAGGAGTTCCAGGAGCGGCGGAAGACTGTAACGGATGAAGTTCTTAAGCAGTACATGACGCCCAGGAAATTAGAGTGGAATGGCAATCCGAATCCGATACCTAGACCAAAACAGAAAGACGGAAAGCCGCAACAGCCCAAGAAAGAGGATAAGTAGTTCGGATAGATACATACCCTTGATTCAAGTTAATTAGAAGCTAAATCAGTGGCATAAACTGTTAGGAATGAATGCATGAGTTATGATTGCCTTATCTTTAAGCACTTAACCGAAGAGTTGCTGAATATCCCGCGAGTAAATAACGAAATTGCTCCTTGCCTTCCTTAGCCACTCTGAGTCCATCGAGAATTTGATGAAACTGCTGAACGAGGATGACGGAACAAAATTGACAAGTTTGTCCCGGCGAAGATGCAATAGAGAAAAGAAGACGGTTTTGGATACTCACCGAACCATAAAGGAGATGGCAGATGCTTAAATTTTCATGTATCCGGCTAACCAACTAACAAATCCGACAGTTGTTGTATATTTCCCTTTGCCTCTTTATTTCAATATACCACTGCCCGCCCTTTATTGACATTAACCAGAAACAAAGTCAGAGTCATCAACTAATCAGCTATTATGGACGAATACACGCGCCATAACCGCCTTCATGCACTCCACCGACTAGTCGGTCAATATTCTACGGGTAGCTACCCATGGCTAGTTGCAAAGTGAATGCTTGAAAGATTCCGCGGAAGCTCGCTTTATCTTCCTACCCTTCACTCCCTTTCATGCAGCGGTCTTATTCACCATAAATCGGATGCTGGTGTCAGTTTCATTGAATTGGGTATAGCTCCATAATCACTCTGCCCAGTGAAAGGTATGACCTCGCTTCGTATATACTGCCATATACGAATATACCTAGGTATATATTCCCCTCTGAAGCCCCAACGTTTCTCTCATTCTTCCTTTTCTTCCTCTGTCCCTTATATCCCAAAAGAGGATCAACCGTATACTTACACCGTAAAACACGCATATACCCCTAGCTACATATTGTTACTCCTGAACAACATGCTACTACTATTATCTCTACATGCCCACCCAATAAGATTACGGCCAGTGACTATCTCCGTTCTATACGGCGCCAAAATATAGTTGGCCTATATCACATTGTAGAGCCTCAATAATGAAAGAGACCAAAGTCGGCCCACAAGTCCATGAAACCCATAGGCTCTTATCACTAGGATTTTTACTCCGTATATTGGAGCGGCGGAGGAAGTGACAAATATAAACAAGCCAGCACCGAGTTCAGCATTTCCGTCCTTTCACTTCGTCCCACGATGTATGGAAGCGCATCGCGGCCCAGCTTACCCTGAAGTAAGTATTTACCCCCTGTCTACTACAAAACTTAAGGTACTAATGGACTATAGCTTCCGGGGTCAATGCCCGGTTGCACTGAGAGTCTGATAGACGCCATCAACTCTTCTATAGATGAGTACTACGCCTACGTCACCAATCAATCTCCAGAATCCACCCAATGAGGACAAGCCAGTTACCTGAGAAGGGTTGGATAGGTCGGGCAAGCCTTGCTACCTCACTCGCCCACCAAAAATGTGAGCCTGCATAATTGGTTATATTTAGCATCAACAAATAGCTACCAAGCGGGCATTAGCACATCTCTCATCCAAAACAAGAGAGCACACACTGGAGACAAATTGAATCAAGCGTGTTCCTTTTCTAATATGGATGACCTCGTGGATATACCCAAGCAAGTCTTCAGCGCCTCACGCAAAGTCATGCCGCTGGCCACTGGAAAAAATGAAGACGGCAGTGAATACCATGCACCGTTGTCGTACCGACCATCGCCGAATCAAAGGCAGGAAAACCATCTATACCATCAAGAACAAGGAGCTACTCCCTACGTGCTATCTGCACGAACCCAAAGGCGGCCATGATTCCTGTTTGCTCTTACTCCGTCAACTGAGCTGGAATGAACCTACAGCAGATGTGTCACAATGTCCACCTATTTGACACAGCTATGTCCAAAGCTATCACCAAACAGGCTATTGGCCGTGTCAACCGTTTAGGACAGACCAGAATCCTGAAAGCTTACGAGAATAGGGCCCCGACATCCTTCAGAATCAAACAAATCTCGGACAATATCTAAAAGGCAAGCCCTGGAATGATCGCCGTGATAAACGGAGGAATCTCCAGTGTGGAAAGAAACGAGGAGATGGATATTGACCTTGGGCAGTGGGCCTTGCATAGGAAAACGGAGGATATAGAGATGAAGGATATCATGAGAGTTTCGGAGGGGCCTTGCCTCGCTAGTTAAACCTGCATTAGTTTCTCTCGGTAGAAATATCTCTGGTTTTGAGCTTCCCGATGCCCTGATTGAAGGGAAGACGTTCAATTCGCCCGCAGCCTCCATCGAGGAAGATCTTGCCTTGGCTGCTAGTTTGCGATTAGCAATCCCGAGTCATCCCGAGTCATTGATGAAGAGGATAAAGACAGTGTCGAAGAGGAGAGTGACCTTGATGGTTAAGTAGCCTAGGCCTTTCTGTTGACCAGGCCAGAGGTGAATTAATTAGTGATCTGTCAGTAACTAGTTAACTAGTTGGTCAGGCTGAAGGAACTAGCATTTTGCAAAGAGTATTTATGGAAAGTGATTCGTGAGCAAAAAGAAGTCGCCATAACAATAACTAGTTAACCGCCGACTACCCAAGTCAAAACAAGGAAGGCTATGGTGGTTTCAGCACAGACAATTACAATCCTTGACTAGAAGAGCCGCATTTCAGAGAGCAACGAACTACGTAACTACGTAACTAGTTACTTAGTTAACTGCAGGCCAAGAGGTAACATCATAAATCCCTCTGATACGCTGGCCCCAGCCACGTCAGCCGCTCATGGTTGACCCTAGTATCGGCAGAGTCGGGATAACAACATGTTCTCTCGCAACAGGCACGGTATTCGGATTTGGCGGACGTTCCGATGTGCCCGCATGTGTGCTCCCTGCTCAGAATATCGCCAGCTCATCGTTTGATGTAGTTATACCCCCAGAATGTGGCTTCAAACGTGTGACTGAGAGGATTACGGGTTACTCTCCCATGGTGTCCAATATGATCAGACAGCAAGTGTTACATATGTACGAAGTCTCCGTAGTCCTGGACATGTGCCCATGCTCGTTGGTGGCTTGTTGTGCAGTGGGCTATGCATATATTGGGTCGGTTTCCTTCATCCACAACCAACGGAAAACCAGGTACATCAGGGATAACCAGCCAACAACGGATATACGGACTTAAGAATCTGGCCATTGGATAGAAATGAACACACAGCTAAACGGCTAAACGGCTGCCTGATCTATTGATGATTCTCCCTGCATCTACAGCCCCCAATATATCTTATCGCGACTGTTATATGCCGCAGGTAGACAATTGATTTGCCCTGGGTATGTGGGGATATTTCAACGGCTGTAGGTCAAGGATAGAGCTGGTGAAGGAGGCTGACGATTTATTGCTGGTGTACCGATGTCGATACTACGCTAGTGGATAGACAGATGGCACTTTCTACGGCATTCTATTTTCAGGCTTAACCTGGCCCCCTTCATGCTACCCCGGCACGCTGATGAACTTGAAGAGCCAAAAGCTCGCTGCTTCAGCTCTCTCTGAGCCATGATGTGATTATTTATAGAGCCGCTGTGGCATTATTATATTACGTTTTCCCAATGCTATGGCAAACCGAGCCTATCATTATTTCTTGGTGTTTATATCGCCTGATCCTATATATACCCTTGATTCGTCCCCGGAAATAAGAGGACTCACTAAGACCTGGTACCTGAAGCAGTTATCAACAGTTAAGAGGAGAAACATGTCTGAGGCAGACGACCAGGATAAAGACGCTAAAAGAAGGGAATACAATCGAAATGCTCAGCGAGTATTCAGTGGGTTTCAAACTGTTTAGAGGATATTAAACTATTAAATGCTAACAAATTTCCAGGGCAGCGGCGGAAAGAACATATTAGAAACCTTGAGCGAGCACAAAATGAACGGATCTCAAGCCAGACAGAGGTGATCGAGCAGCTGCGAATGGAGAACTCAGAGCTTCGCAGGGAGAATGAGGCCCTGTCAACATTACCGTCGGACTGCAGCTCCCCTTCGAGACTATCAGTTACAACCCCCTCACACTCTAGTTCAGGGGAACCAAGCCATTTTCTGGCCATGAGCCAGTCCATCCCCGATACACACTCCCCCAACGCCCCTGAAACATCAACGGGCTTTCCCTTCCACCTTAGCAACCCTACAAGCGAGATTAGCCGTTTGTCTAACCGATTATGCATCTTATCGCCGTATGATATCACCCGGATGCGCAGCTACCTACACTCACTCTTCCGCCCAGTCTTAAATCTTATTGTGGATGGTATGCTGCCAGACCCTCGGATACACCTTCTTACCCTTGCAGGCTTGGGCCCTTCTCTTTCTTCATCACTGCAGCCAACATCTCTACAGCTCGAAATTCCGCATAATGTCTACATTGATCTCATACCATCACCATCACTAAGGGACGCGCTCCTGAGGTCTGACTCTACTACTGTAGCTGCATTCCTAGCAAATGTATGTACATTTGTATGCGACATCGAAGACCGCGGACAAGTGACTATCTGGGGGGAGGATTTTCTTAATGAGTTCTCATGGGAGTTCTCGGAGTCGGTGTTAGAGCAGTGGGGAGGCTGGTTCCTCCCCCCAATATGGCATGAACGGGCGGATTTTTGGCGTCGCCAGAGAGGCGACTCCCCTTTGACCATCGGCTGGCCGGTGACGTCGCGCAGTATTTAGCCTCAATTAAATGATGAATAGCGAGGAAATGACATGTTTTTTCTTTCTTGTCTTTTCTTCCATTTAAGAAATTATGTATCTCGTTTGCATCTCACCTCTTTCTTACGTGACCCCTGCCAGCGATGATAACTACCGCAGTTACTCTGCAGTCTGCAAGGCACTAATTTCTTCAGATTATCCCTGGGAATCTTAAATGCCGCTGGGTATGAAGTGGACAACTATAACATAATACTAAATAATATCAATAGCATCAACATCATCAACAACAAAGACCCACTTGAACCTAAATTCAAACCTTGGCGGGATCGTTTGGGTTAGGAAAGTTTGCGCAACGGAAAAACAGCTATAATTAACTTTTGGTTTATTAGAATCCAAAGCTGTGACTGAAAGTTGTAAATAGATCAGCTAGGAATATCTTCGCAGTAGAGAGGATAGTTGAATAGAACGTGCAAGTCACAAATATAGCCTGGGAGCTCTAAGTGTAGATTGCTAGAGTAGGGGAGATAGTTATCTCGCCACCCAGAGAGTGATGCTAAGTTTGATATTATTCTTTTGGCTAGATATATCTACCTTGCAACAGGCAATGATACCTACGGAGGACTTGAGCATTTCTAGCATCAAGCTACTGTCTAATAATGAAAAAGGCCGATGGAATGGAAGAGAGTCAAGCGATAGACGTGAATAATTATTTATACATGGAGAAGAATAATAGTAAGCAAAAGCAGGGTCGGTATCACAAATTCTAGAAGAGCCGTAAAAAAAAGACAAAGGAAATAAAGAAATAAATCAAAAATCGGGGAATTAAATATATAGAAGTAAATGGGAGCTTCCAGAAGGGTTGGAAAGATCGTAATCGCTATGCAAAAATGTGTCCAAATCCAAAGAAGTGTAGTGTATATTAGAGTTGAAAGAGGGGTAGGGGGGAGAAGTAAGTCTGAAAAATAGGGCTGGTATAAGAATCTTTAAAAATACGGAACGGTATATGAATAAGGAACGGGCTGAAAGGGAAAAAAAAATAAACCAAGAAGAGGGAAGATTGAACTGGGAAATCAAAACGGCAAGGAAAATCATCGAAGTCTATATCTCAGGGCCAAATGGTCCTTCGATAGACCGTGTACCGGTCTCTCGCCCCATTAGGCCGCCAATGACACTGTCACTGTCATTGTCGTCTGTCGAACTGCCCATACCGTAATGCATTGTTTCGGCATCATGGTCGTAACTTGAATTCCGTAGCAATGGCGGCGTCGTTGGGGGCATGATGTTTTCTAGCTGACGACTAGACAGTCTTCGGATGCCCGCATTTTGGCCTCGTAGGGGCCGGGTTTCGGCATATGTTCGTCGTCCTATTGGGGCAGGCGGTACGACAGGGGTGTCACGTGTGTTCGAGCTAGGGGGCGTCATAAGTCCGGAGAGGAAGCCTTGTGATGCTGACAGCGCCGGCTTGGGCGGCTTCGACGGCGTGAGCTGGTCGTCGCTGTGGTGGCTGTTACTGGAAGATGCCGTGGGAGCTGAGTTATTGCTGGAGTTACTGCTAACTCCATTCCCTTTACGCCAGTTTCCCCACGCTGCTGCCGCTGCGAGGGGCAATGCACGAGGAGAGGATGCAAGGCTGGTGAGCGAAGCTATGCTGGGAAACTGACTATTGCCGCCGGACATAGCCCTCTCCTTTTCCTGCTGTTGCATCTGCAGGTTTGCTCGGAGGCGAATTGCAGCATCGCGGACCGAATGCTGGTCAAATGATGGCTTTGAGACTGCTCGGATGAGGTCTCGGAGATCGTCAAGACGGACGCTGAGTAATTCGCGCAGCCAGTTTATTTCTGTCTCCTTCTCCTTGATCTTCGCTGGAGCATCCCTGTCCATGGTAGATAGCTCTTGTTCGAGTTCTTCAATTCGTCCTTCACGCTGTTGCAGCTGATCTTGCAATACCATGATTGATTCCCGCAAGGCCTGCGGCGAAATCTTATCGGGGACTTCCGATCCTTGAGCATAAGTCATTGAAGGAGAGGTCGTTTGAACTGCTTGCTGGGGTGCTGGGGCGGCCTTAGCGGTCTGCGCAGCTTCCGCCGCAGCCCGGGCAGCAGATTTGGCAATTTCTAGCTTCTCCTCAAGACTAGTTACCTTCTCCTGAAGGTACTCAATCTTCTCGTCACGCAGGGCAACAACTTCCATGTAATGGGCTTCATCACGTTGTCTATCCTCAGAAGTGTTGTGCATAGCACGAGCGTGTCGTTCGCGGAGATCGTTCAGGGTACGTTCGTGCAGACGACGTTGATCTTGGATAGCAACTTCCTTGGACTCAGCGGCATCGTGAAGAGCTGCTAGTTTGGAGTCTCTAGCTTCAGCAAGTAGGAGTTCATATCTTGCTTTGGCTGTTTCAGAGTCCATCTTAGTATTGTCAAGGAGGCTCTGTACGTTAGAGATTTGAGCTTCAAGCTCAGCGCGAACGAAGTTGACCTGATGATGGGCTGTATTGAGATCCGTTTCTAGCAGTGCCCTTACGCGTTCAGCTTCAAAGTGGCTATTCTCAATAGCCTCCTTGGCTTCACGCTCGAATTTAGCAGCTCTGTTTTGGTGATCGTGACTCTCTTGTCGAACTTTCATCAACAGAGCCTCAAGCTTATCGTTTTCGTTCTGAGACTGGTCTAGGATAAATCTCAGTTTTGTGGCCTCCATCTCCTTCTGCTCAAGATCGCCTATGTGAAGTTCCAGTTTCTGTCGCTGGTTATGTTCACGGTCAAAGTCAGCTTTGAGGGTGTTGTATTTGATGTTGGCCTCGACTTCCTTCTTCCTCCATTCAGCTTGCTCTTGGGCGATATTCTTGACAAGAGTAGTCATATCTCCTTGTAGTTTTTCGAATCTCTCGCGGAGCTTCTGCTTGACGTCTGCACCCTCATTAGTCTGGATCCTGAGAAGGTCGATGGTACGGCAAAGGTCGCTATTTTCTTCTTCGACCTTCTGTTTTTGAGCTCGAGCTTGGTCCGCGCTCGTTCTGTATTCGTCTAAAGTGCCTTGAAGGTCGATGTTCTTGTTTGATAGTTCCGAAAGGGTAAGACGCATCATCTCCTGTTGGTCCTGGAGGTCCTTAGAGTGTTGCTCACTCTTCTGAATTTGAGACTGATGCTGGCTCTTGGCCAATTCCAAAGCCTCCTCAGCGGCAGCCTTAGCTTCCCGTTCAGCCATGATACCCTTCTCAGCAGCATCGGATCGTTGTTGAGCTAGAGCTAGAGCATCCTGGGCAGCTCGTCGAGCTTGGTACTCATTCTCAGCACGCTCATCAGCCAGACGAAGCATGCTCTGTAGTCCATCAACCTGTAGCTTAAGCTTATCCATTTCTGGAGCCAAGTCAGGCTTTTCCTCGACGATCACTTCCTTAGGCTTGAGAGCAGGGTGATCCGAGATGCATTGTGAGATCATATCTCGAATACCGTCAGTCTGGCTTTGCTGTTGCGATACTGTGGCAATGGCAACTTTCATTTCAGCGAGTGTGGAGGTTACTTCGGACAAATCGACCTTTGGAGCAGGCTCTGGCACTGGAGGTGGGTGGTGCGCGGCCAAAGCTTCAGCAACAATGGTCTTGATCCTCACAGCGAGCTTATCATGCTTATTTCGAGGAGAACGCGGTCGGTGTTCCCCATCATCTTCATCGTCCTCGTCATCGGCGTCGCTGTGTTCCACCCTTGCTGAACGGGGCTTATGTGAAGCATTCTGAGAAATGGCTAGCTGGATGGCTGCCAAGCTTTGCTCAATGGGAGCTAGATGGCCCACCATCGAGGATCGAACAATGTCTTTAACATGGGTTTCGAAGAATGGTGCCCTCTGTCGAAGTTCCAGATCATCACCAGACATAATTGCATCGTCCCAGTCACTGATGTGATCCTGTGGCTGGGTATTTAGTTGACGAATAGAAGATATGCCACTGCGTTGCATTGGACGAGCAGGCTGAGGCTGGATATCATCATATATTGGTTCCTCGGCGATTTCTTGCTCAAATGGCTCTTCTAGCAGGCTTGGGCTAGGTGCTGCACTGCGAGAGCTTTGGCTTGGTGCGAGGTGAGAAGGTGAGATATTAGCAGAAGAGGCCTGGGACGCAACATGTGGAGATTCTCGTCTCTCAATGCCAACACTCGAGTCGCCGTCGTTGAGCTGCTTCATAACGGCGTCAATCTCTTCTTCATCTGACGAGTTGATGCCCTTGATAATGGGCGTATCACCTTGTTCAGACTGTTCAGCTGCCTTGAGACTAGCTGTGAGAGCGCTTTGGTTCTTGACAGGCTCAGGAGAATCAGGGTCCGAAGTAGCATATCGCGAAGCGTAGAGGCCTTGTTTCTTTGGCTTGAGTAAAGGAGTCTGTAGGGGTGATGCAACAGGCGAAATAGGCTTTAGTACTGGCGGCTGGCTTGATGTGAACTTGAACGGTATGGCGGTAGGCTTGAGCGAAGATGGCGTTGGCTGGGCATTGATGTCTTCGGCCAAGGACTCATGGTCTTCTTGATCATCGCCTTCGACAATGGTATCTTGTTCCTCCTGGTCAACAGTAGTATCTTTATATACTACGACTTCAGGTTGAGAATCTACTTTCTCTAGATTACCAAGAACCTCATCATCTGCAAGAGCCGAAGGATGAGCAGCGTTGAATGCAGCGGCATCTTCCTTGTTCTTGAACTCGAACTGCTTTTTGCCACTATCCTTTTCTTCGACAATTTCACCTTCTTCTACTTCCTCGAGATCATCGTCATGAGCAGACAGGATGGTTTCGATAATTTCCTCCTCCGTCCTCTTGCGATTCGCAGCTATTTCAGGTGGTACATCATCACTGTCATCGATCAAGGTAGCTGTACGCTTGGAATCAGCAGCAGCAGAGGGTGACATAGTAAACATAAGTTCACGAGTAGTGTCACTCTGGTCACCGCCATGGCTTTCGACGCGACGGGCACGCTTTTCTCGGCCCTGAGCACCAAATCTACCAGGTTCATCGTCGTCAGGCTGTTCGTCGTTTTGGTTTGAATCACCTGGACGCACGATAGGAATGGCCTTGGATGCCTTGGTAGGTGGTATAATTGCCGCTGGATCAAAGTTGTCAAATATCTTAGTCCGTGGACCTGATGGAGATGGTTTCTGTTCTGACGAGGGAAGAGTGAAGTTTGATCCGGGGTTGAATACTGGTGCGGCAACGTTGAATGTGGCGGAGGAGAATTTGAAGTTACTGGGAGTGGAGATTGGCTCTTGGGATTTCTGGACTGGAGCAAATGCTGGTGCCTCAACGTTGAAGCCACTGGAGTGTGCGCTGTGGGAGACGCTCTGTGGCATATCCTGGTTGAAAGCAGGGCGTGGCTGGAAGCTGCCAAAGGTTGGCTGGAAGGTATTATTGGACATGAATGAGAAATTGGTTGGAGAGAAAGTAGATATGGAGGGATCGAATGCCTTTGCAGCAACGTTGAGCTTTGAGATGGAGGAATTTGACTTGTGGCCTGGGATGAATGCTGAGCCAGTGCTGTGTTTGGCCTGGTGTGTGTGGTAGTCATCCACGGGGGAACGGACATCTTTGAGACTGGGATTTGTCTCAAGATCAGAGGCCTCTTCGTCCATACGGGAATTGTGAGCTTGTTGCTCATCGAAAATATGCTGTTGCAGCCGGTTGGACTGATTGATGGATTCAGATGGGAAGAAAGAGTGCTGTTGGCCCATTGGCTTTTCAGGTGCAGCCCATCGTGGATTCATGAGATTATCCTCTACTCTTTGTTCTTCGTCGAGCATGGAGTTTTCGAGCTGGTAGTCTCTTTCAACACCCTTTTGCAGAGTTTCGCTTACATTGTGTCGATGGCCTCGAGGGGTGGGGTGGGCAATTTCAGGACCAGAATGTGTTGATTGGAGGGTGTCCGCTTCTGGCTCCATTTCAACGTTCGGTTCATCCATGGGCTGATGATGCATTGGGTTTTCATATTCATTCATTCGGGCCTGTGGCGTACTGACTCCATATGGGTTATTAAAGTGTGAATGTGGTAGCATGCTGGCCATGCCAGGGTACTGCTTTGATTCATCGAGTATAGGGGAGACGGAGTGCAGTAGAGAGCCTAGGTTTGGCATGTTGCCTATGTTGGTGGGAGTCATGCCATTTGGCCGTATACCATAGAGATTCTGTGGAGTATGAGTACCATGTGCCGGAGGAGTAGGCTGGAATGGCAAGAATGGATAGTTTGCTTCATTTCCATACGCAGGCTGGAATTGCTGGAAGGGAGATTCGGTGTGGAACCCATATGGTGATGCAGGCGAGTTCATCGAACTGATGTTGGAGGTTGCCTTCGTGGATTGGTTGAAGGCTGGGGAGAAAGGATTCTGCATCATGTTCAGATGATTGCTGCCAGCGGAGGAGGTAGGGATGGGAGGAGAGATAGCATGGCCCGGTAGCAGTGGCATCTGAGAAGAATTGCGGCTCATGGCTCCTGGCGTAGGAGACATGAGAGGGTTGGGCTCTGGATCTCCTAGGCTGACACCGAGAGCACGAAGCTTCTCTTCCTTCAAGTAATCGACATACTCTTGCCAAACGGATTGGTCTGGGAAACTGACGTGAAAATGCTTCTGTTCGAGTTCTCGGTGTGTGTCTCTGGGATCAGGATGAGCCTGTCGATTCTGAAGGTCAATTGTGACAGGCTCTCCACGGCCAGTTCCTCGAACATCATACCCTTGATCTTCCCAGCTATCCAAGATCTGCTCCACGTCTGCGGGTGTAAGAAGTCGTTTCCCCCCTTCAGCCGATCCACGGCTATCCTCAAGGGGAAGTGCGATGATACATTGCTTCCCTCGCCATGGGACTTTCTTTTTAGGCCGTAGGAAGGCCGGAGCAGTACGAATGGTCTGTTTCGGCCCACCAGGCAGAGGTTGATCTAGTGCATCCTCCACGGGCGTTGGGGGCAGCGGGAGAGGTTTATCTGTGGGAGAGACATAAGTGTGCTGTTGTGGAGGCGGATGCACCTCTGGTATGGTGAGTGGCTCGAGATTTGACATTGTGATGGAAGCACAGTCCGGATCGCAGGCGTCAGACTGGGATTGGGAATCAGATCTGACCAGAGAACGAGATCTCGATTGAGATTGAGACCGGGATTGAGACCGGGACCGGGACCGGGACGATGGTTCGGGGTCCTCACCAAAATCCCAAAAGTCAGACTGTTTCAGGGTGGCCGTGCTCGCCTTGGGAGCGTGCTTTGCTCTGAGATGAGCAGGCCGGGACTTCCAGCCAAACTCTGGTTTCTTCCCCTTTAGCAAGCTTGACGCAGTAGGCGTCTTGAGGGGGTCTTCCTTGTATTTGTTGTTATTGCTGCTGCTGCTGTTGTTGTTAAGGTTGCTGTCGTCGTCGAGATCGTCGTCGAGGTCGAGCCAGCCTTCGGAACCGTCAACACGCTGCTGGTATGCGGTGAGAAATGAACCGACGTCACTCTCTCCTGAGTCGTCACTGAGCCAATTCGTCCGTTCTGAGCGAGGTTTCCCTGTCAGGTACTGATTGATCCAATCCTGGGTGAAATCCTTGATGGACTTCCCACGATGCCTGCTAATGCTACTCTCGGGTACCAGGTCCCGTTCAAACAAGGTCGAAGTGAGCTCAGGAAAGGGCACTGCGCCCGTCTGGCTAGCAGAGTCCGGCAGCAGTTGCTGCTCACCTCGAGCGGTCGTACGGATGGAGAAGGGCGAGTTTTCGAGTTCCAATTCCGACTCGAAATCGCCCTGTCTGCTCCTCAGCTGCCAGGAGGCACTCCGTGAGCTCGGCGTGGCGTAGGGGGACCCCCAGGCTGCCGTGTAGTAGGCACTGGCGTCCGTCCGCCTGTGGTCAGGCGAGAAGGTCGACGACTGCGCGTCCGAGGTTGGTCCGCGGTATCCTCCTGCGGAGGGGACAGCAAGCGAGGTGCCTGCTGCGATGCTCGAGACCGCACCTGGAGTGACGGACCGGCGCAGTGGCAGTGTGAGCGTATGTTCCCGCTCGGCTTCACCCTCGTCGTCTTCGCGATGGAGGGACGGCTGGAGAATGACGGGATTGGAAGAAGAATTGACTGCGAGAGTTGGGCCTACAGGCGATGCACACGTCAGTCACCACTTCCAGCCAATGCCATTGTGCTCCTGATATCACTGGACAAGAGAATCACATCAATGCAGCAAAGGGAGAATAATCTTACTGTCCGTCTTGTCTGATGCAGCAAGCACAAGCTCGCCGCGTTCGATGTCCGCCTGAATCTTGACGCATAGAACTCAACGGCCTGGTGCTGCCGTTGGTCGTAGAGAGCGTAGGAGGGTCGTAGTAGCTCTCGAGGCCTCGCTGTCGCCGGTGTGCAATCGCCTCACTCTAGCAGGACCGCACCGTCTATCCGTCCAAACTGACGCCCGAGAATGTCTATAGATCAAACGAAAGCCGCGCAGACAGGCCGTCTACCGAGTAAACACGTCTTCAGTCTCCCCCTTTTCCCCCTTGGTGTGGTTTCTTGTTGTTTGTCGGAACCGTGGTTTTAGCCCAGGGAACGAACCATGGCTCACGAACGAGGGCCGCTTTTTTGCTCTTCGGGTCTTCTCAACGCCGGATTGTCCGACGGCGGATGTCGAACGCGAGGAAAAGACGAAAAAACGAGGACAAGAAGAAGAAAATAACAAGAGAAGGAGAAGAAGCAAAGCTGAGCGTTGGAGGTTGAGGTTGTCGATGTCAAAAAAACGAGATGAAGCCCAAACTTATTTTTTTTTGGTGTTCGCGACGCTAGTTGAAGGTTGACGTTCTTAGTAAGACGCGAAAAGGGGCAGAAGGTGATGTCGATAGTTGATAGTCTCGATAGTAAGAAGACGAAGAAGATACTAGATTGATAGATGGAAGCAACATAAGACGGTGATGATGGCATTGTATTGATGATTAGAAGCAGATAATGCGGATGAAGTATGCAGAATGAAGTGTATGTATGAGTTGAAGAGAAAGAACCAATGTATGTCCATGGCCGAGCTATGCAGATATACAATAACGATTAAGAATTAACGATTAGACTACTTGACAGACCAGCCTAGTTCTTCTTTGCGTTGCAGTCGACGCTGTACTTGGCCTTGCGGTCGGCAGTGTACATGCCCCAATGGGTCTCGTCAGCGGCATTGCCGTTGTCACCAGTGCTCTTGGGCTTCCATGGCTCGTCAAAAGCCTCAAAGAAGAAGACGTCATAGCCGTAGGTGAGCATCGGGCAGACGCCACTGTGGAAGAACTTGTCAGCGTTCTTGGTGCCAGCCTTTGCCGCGCCGTAGTCGGTACCGCCGTCTAAATGATGTACGTGTTAGCTGGTTACAATTATGTATGTGGTCGGTAGGTTTGATTAGTGATGGTACGCACCGGAAGGCCAGCCAGTTTCACCGGTGGCAATGTAGATGTCCTTTCCGGTGCCAGCAATTTCACGGATGTGCTTTGCGGCCTGGAACATATCGTCGAAGTAAGTCTTGGGGGCCTCCTCGATGGCCTTGCCCTGCCAGAAGGCGAAGGCGTTAACCAAGCTACATGCATTCAGTTAGCAGTCGTCCAGATATAAGGTGCAAAGGAGTGGGCAAGGGCTAACGTACAAGTAATCAACGCCGCCTCTGATGAGATCATCAGCAGTGCCATCGGCGTACTTGTTCCAGCTGTCTGCAGTGCCGACCTTGACTTTAGGGAAGAGTTTCTTGACCTGGTTGATCTTGCCGAGCAGCTCCTTGCCGGTGAAGTTGCCGCGGTAGAGAGTCTCGGAGCCAACAGTGATGGCAGTGATAACGTCTTCGTTACCGGGGACAGCCTTCTGCAGAGCCTTCGTATCGGCCTCGAACGACTCGGGGACATCAGGCCTGCAGCCATCAGTTAGTATCATTTATCAACGCAGACTCAAGACGGGCTTTTTCGTACCAGACGCCGAGAACAACCTTGAAGCCCTTCTTCTTAGCAGCTGGGATGAGGTGGACGGTGTTATCGCAGTCAGCAGCCGCGTATGTTCTAACAGTCTTGCCGTGGGCCTTGAGGACGTCAAAGTCCATCTCGAAGTCGACCTGCTGCTTGCAAGATCCATCGGGCTTCTTCACGCCCAGGGAGAATCCTAGGTTGCCGGCACCAAGGACGGCAGCCGGGCTGGCCGCCAGAGCCAGCGAGACAGCAGTTGAGAAACGCATCCTGAGAGTCCTATGTTCGATGATGAGTCCAGGGGCCGAGTTGGGGTGTTGTTTCTTCCAACGGCGTCAAGTGTAACGACAGGAATTGGGGAGGAGGAAAAGGAAAAGCAAGGGTGGCCGAGAGGCAAACGCCAGAGTTTTATATGACGACTCCAGCGAGGATTTTATGGATCTTCCTGCGTCTTTGTCTTCCGTTCAAAAAAAAGTCCCCCAGAAGTCGAACAGAAAGAAAAAGGGCGCCGCTTAGTCATGAAACATCCGCAGGCCCAGACTTGCTCTCGTTGCTTTTTTGCCCCCTGAAGGTCGGACTTTTAAGGGGGGATAAGGGCCAGGGTGGTGGACAAGTGTTTATATGTCCTGCTGAGCTGGCGGGTAGGGCGGACAGGCCATTGGATGCTGGGGGCAGGCGTTGTCTGAGATAGGGGAGGAGCTCGGGAGGCAGCAGAGTTCCACCGGATAGAGCAGAAAAGAACATATATCGAGGGTTAGACATACTGTGTACATCTCGATAGGGTCGATGGCTGATAAGGCTCGCTAACTGTGGTACCTGCATAGCGCCGTCTTGGTATCCGTCGACGTGGCCGTGTCTGTGGCTTAGGACGGGCGGATGTGCCGTCTGGCTTCGTCTGGATCAAGTCGCTTGCCTGTCTTGTCGAAGAACTTGGAGCTGATGCGTAACCACATCTCCCGGTCGTACTTGTCCGCGAGTTTGCTGAGTAGGACGGCTTCCTCTGTGCTCAGGCTCTCGTCTGTATATACCACCTTGGGTGCTTCTTTACCCTGCTAGTCGTTAGTTGGCCATGGCATGGATACTTGGGTAACGATGGAGAGAGCCTAAAGAGAGTACAAGTTCAAAGAGAGCCTGGTTACCTTCTTCTCTTTGGCTGACGGTTCTACAACGACGGCTTTCTTCTCCTGAGGGCTGTCTTCCTTGACCTTTTCCGGCTCTGGCTGCGGCTGCTTAGCCGGCTCGGGTCTGATAACTCGCCAGCGTTCCTTCAGCTCGTGGACAGATGATCGCATCGTCTCTGCAATCTTCCTCCAGCTGATGTTGTCCTCCTTCAGCTTCTTCAACTGAGCGTCGTCCTCATCTGTCCAGTCCCGAACTTCAATGACAGGAACTGCACTGGCTCCTGGCTTCTGCGGGACGGTGCCCGGTGGTAGAACAGGCGGCGGAGGGGCTGCTGCTGCTGCTGGCGGAGGACCTGGTGGGCTTGGAGGCGTTGTTGCTGGGCTGCTACCATCCTTTGCCTGCTTTTCCATGGTGTACGGTGCCATCGCTGCGTGCAGGTCGGCGAGTCTCTTGTTCTCGGCCTTGAGCTGCGCTGTCTATCCGTCTGTTAGCCACGCTTTACTGCGTATCCAGCGGTTGAGCAGCCGGCTTACGGCCTTACCTTTCTGGCCACCAGCTCCCTCTCGGCCTTCAGCGCCTTGCTGCTCTTGAAGACGTCGCCAAACGACATCCTGATACCCTGTCCTGGTACGTTTCGGGCTTTGGGAGGCATTCTCAAGGCTCTTCTTCTTGCTCTTATCGATCTGATGCTGTTGTATCCATGTAGAGACGGTGGTTTGGGCGGTTCTCGATGTAGTTGACTATAGAAGAGTGAAGGGAAGTTCCTCCATCTAGATAAAGCAGTCACTTTGAAGCCTCTTGAAGCAGCTCTCGACTTTGCAGCTCGGTATATACAGTAAATATCTTCTACCACTCTAGATCTATCTATCTACCTTCACTTTCACTGTCTTCTTCACTCTTTTACCCCCTTTTACTCTCTTTTACTGTCTTCCTCCACCCAGTTTCTGTATGTGGTCCGTGCACTTCTTGACACGCAAAAAGAAAGTCGACGAAGATGAAGAAGACAAGCAAGCAAAGAAAACATCTCCAACCCTTCCACTCGACGGCCGCATAGCACATGTTACAGCGTCTAGCAGGCTGTATCTCATTGTGTCTCCTGTTTAATTGTTGTATATTCTACTTTCCCGCGCCGCCATGAAGTTCGCCTTCTCTTCCCTTGCAGTGTCCGCTCTGCTCTGCATAGGGGCCGCAACAGCACACAACATTCCACTCAAGGCGCATTCGAGAGAGTGTTTCTTCGAGACCCTCCATGTCGACGATAAGATGACTGTTGGTTTTCAGACGGGAGATACCGAGTTTGGCGGAAGCGGGAATCTTGACATTAACTTCTGGGTGCGTTGATGATACCTTGGTTACGACAAACGGACAGACAAAAATGAGCATGAGATGAGGAGTATGCGACGGCAGCGAGGGATTCAGGCTAACTGGTTGATGGAATACAGATTGAAGATCCTGCCGGCCAGAAGATTCACAGCAAGAACTCGATTTCCTCCGACGAGTTCACGTTTACCGCCAAACGGGACGGGAAGTACGTCTACTGCTTTGGAAACGAGGCCTGGTCGTCGAACAGCAAGGAGGTGTCCTTTAATGTGCATGGAACCGTCTATGTGCCTGCCAATGAACACCCATCTGACCCCCTGGAGCTTGAGGGTATGCATTCACCTTATTATACATGGACAGAGAGAGAGAGAGAGGGATGGATAGTTGGCTGACCCTGCTGTTACAGTGATGAGACTCTCCGACGAGCTCGCTCAGGTCAAGGACGAGCAATCATACATCATTGTCCGTGAACGTACCCACCGTAACACTGCGGAGAGCACAAACTCGCGAGTGAAATGGTGGAGTCTCTTCCAGCTTGCTGTCCTTATTGCAAACGGTATCTTCCAGGTCTGGTGGCTCAAGCGGTTCTTCGAGGTACTTTACAACCCTTCCCCCGTATATATCTAGGCGTATCAGAACTAACATGTTCATATACAGGTCAAGAGAGTCGTTTAAAATCACTGCCTAGTTGTTCTATCGGCGTACTATGAGACGAGCAACGCAATTGGGGGGGTTCTATGTGAAAAAAGGACACCAGGATAGTCGATAGATCCCATCGGCCGGGCCGATTGGATGGCTGCCAAAGAGATCGTTTCGACGGATTCTAATATATCTTCCTCTAGAGCTGTTCTGTTTATCAAACAGTCAGGCAGCCTGAACCTGTTAGCATTGTGTTTACCTGCGTGATGATATCTACGTTTTTCACTACCACTTTTCTTCTCTATATCCCGGCCAAGTAATGAAAATGTCATCTCTACGTCAAGCAAGTCTTTTAATATCGGTATATCTAAGTATCAGATCTCCCTCCTCCCCTGTCCACTGCATCGCATAACCTCACAGATCGCCTACGAACCACCAACCAGCCAGGATGAAACTTCCTTTCCCTCAGAAGCTCGGCCTGGTCAGCACTTGACTGGCTGGTATCAAACCCTTCATGCATGAAATTCCTCCAGAGAGCCAACCAAGCCGACTTTTTTGCTTGAAAAATGAGCCCTTGGCATGCATGCAAGTATGGAATCGCTGCTCAGCTTGTGTAAACATTCACGCAACCCGCAAGCGCAAAAGAAAAGAAACCGGACAAAACCATGGAAGAAACTCCTCATTCTTCAGTCTTCGTTCGACTCGATGAATATGTTCATTCCACTGCTATTCAAGCGCTAACTAGCAGAGCGGGAAGCGAGAAGAAGGCGGCGCAGGCTTGATTGTCAGCGATACTATAACTACTGACGGGAATCGACATGGCTGCCGCCAATGGCATTGCTGTGGCCATCGAGCGGTTCTACGAAGCGCGCAAACCAGATGATCTCCTACCGTTTTGCTGGCGGAATCAGGATTGTGGCAGCTGTCTTCGTGCAGCAAATTTTTGCAGTTGGTGTGCATCTGTATGTCTTGGATGTCGTCTCTTCTGATAGACACCGTGCTCAGAATATACATATATACCTTTCGTCCAGCACTGGGGGGAATGGGTTTTACGACTAATATATCCTATTACTGACTTCTACTTCGCATAACTGACTTTGCATATTCGCATAGTCATCTACCTGCGTGCCGAATACCTCTGCCTTTCCTCTCCTTGCTCCCTTGACGAATAGCTCGATATGTCCTCTCGGCGCCAAAGAGAGATGGGAGATACGTACTCGTCCGTTCGGATGTGCAGTTAGCGCCGCTTCGTTCCTTACATGCATTGTCTCGGTGATATGTACGCTAGTTCTCGTAGCTGCTGCGTACCTTGCGTATCAGATGTGGATGGCGAAGAAGGCTGAAGAGGAACAGCAGCAGCAGCAGGATGGAGGAGATGGGCAGCTTGGGGGTGATGCTTACGGCGCTGGAGGAGGGTATGGCGGTACCCAGTTTGGAGGAGACGGAGGCGCAGAAGGGATAGGCGAGGTACTTCCTGGTATTGTGGGCTGGATGGGACAGGGACAGGAGCATAGAGCGCCAGAAACGATACCGGAGGAAGACGAGGAGCAGGAACACGATGAGCGCTCCCCTTTGCTATGATTCTTCGGGCCTACTTTTTGAGGTTTCGGTTGGATATAACTATATGGGGCTTTGGCTTTGGAACGTGTACACTTGGTGATAAATCGGCAATTGAATGCTCCTTCATCTCATATGCGGTTTTTTAACAATAGACTCGAGACGGAAATGTAGCTAGTAGCCACAGCCTACTCAATCTTAACCCTTACAGACCTGGCTGACCTTGTAGTCTACAATTGGTCTCTGGCCCTTCTCATAGATGAATCGGCCAGAAGCAACGAAGATGCCGTTCTCGAGGGCCGCATGCTCGGCGTCTCCGCTCTGAAACAGTTACAGTTTGGTTAACACGCTGCAAGCATCATTCCTGAGGGCTGACCTGCAGCTGGGAAGGGAGTATAAACGTATGAAACGAACCTCGAACTTAAGGGTGATGACTTGAAAGGGGGGTCTGTTAGCGAGTTTGCCACCGGTTAGATATCTCAAAGGAATTGGACAGGTCGTACATATATTTCCAAACGGGGTGCTTGCTGCTCCTTCATGGCCAGTGAGTATGGCAGTGATCTCAGGAGTCAGGTCAACGACTCCGGTGTAGTTGATATACACAGACTACCGCCAAAGTAAGCCATGGCGTCGCCATCTAGTTATCTAGAACACTCACTGCTCCTGTCTCTGTTCTTTAAGCATTCAATTAGCTTGGTGTATCCAAAAGGCATGGGGATAGGCATACTTGACCACAGTATGAGCATCTAGCCGTAGACGCTTACCGTCCGGGTCGGTACGGATATAATCATTGCCATTGCTAGCAAGCTGGCCGTTGAAAGCAGGTGAGAAACCAGGCTCGCTCTTGACGGTGCCGCCGACCATGGGCTAGAGAGACAGACAACTTCAGCTCAGTATTTCATCTGCAGTCAGGACGTAGTTACGCAACGCAGGTCATGAGACGCACCGTGACTACAAAGTTGCAGTTCTTCGCGGTACTTCCTATTGGTGATGTCAGCATTGACTTCAGCATTAGTTAGCTATAGAGAGAGGCTTGAGCTGCTGATGCATACCGACGTTCACTGCAGGGTCGATCAAGACCTACAATGGGAGATGAATGCGGTGGTTAAATCTGCTGCTGGCTGCTGGCTACATGTATGGCGCTGGGGAAGAGCTGTATAGCTACCTGCATGGTAAACGCCGGCTTTAAGGTGGGAAAGTCTGCCATGGCGAAGGAGTCAATACTGGAAAATTGAATATCTACGACGTTGGAGTTGGAGTTGAAGTCCAAATAAGAGATAGAAGGACGTTTATATAAATAGCCAGCTTATAGTTAACTACCCCGCCATTATGCAGTGCGTCCTTAGATGCTTGTCGATGCCGGAAATTCGACGGAACCAGCATGTCTGTACCTTGTAATTGACCACTCTGCTTTTATTCCTATTACTTTCATGTTAGTATTCTTGATTAGTGGTATTCGAGGTTTGTAGAGCAGATGTCCGTGGGAATTATCCCTGCACGCAGTATCAGGCGTGCGTGACTATGCTAGAGCGTTGCTGGTACTTCCTTATAGAGAGGATATTGATAGAAAAGTGGCAGCCAGGTGATTGACCTGAGTTGCGTCATCAATAGATGATGACATAGGTACTGTAGGCTAGATAGGCGCCTCGAGTCTTAGGCCCTGGGTATCATGATATTCTATCCTCATCAATCGTTCATATGATAATATTTGGCACATAGAGAGTCCTCTCTAAGCTTTCAAATCGGATAATCGTCTTGACGAGTGCGACAACTTAGCGTCCCAGCTGATAATACATTGGTGACTCTGGGTACTTCGAACAGTCAAATCCATCATATGCCTGGCTAAGCGACTGAAACTCGGCTTTCAACCTCACGATGGTGGTGGTCTCCATGTGGCCCTCCAAGCACTTGTGGTGGTTTATCGATGGATCGGCTGTCGATTTCTTCACTCCATTTCCAGTTCCAGAGCCGACATCTCCTGCCGTCCTCGACTACAAGGGACGATCAAATTCCCCAGCTCGACAGCCGGTAATCATTCTCCCTAGGACAAACATAGAGAACTATGACGATACTTGCAAACTTATCAAAACCAAGCTGGAGTCACCGTTGTTGATTTGACCTCTTCTTCCAGGTGGCATCACGGGCAAGTTGATACTCAGCCGCTAATGCATCCAAGCGTCATTTGACAGAAAGGCACCCCGATGGATCACCATCCAGCACATGCATAGTTATATATTCTCGCTTTAAGAGGGCCCTCCCTCCACAAGTTTGTGGGTGTGTGGTTTCATGGTCTGCCTGCGGGTTTATAGGATTCATCTCCGAGTGGTGGTGGTGATGATGGTGATGCTCCCCGGGGCCTGCATGCAAGCGCATCTCGAGGCCCCTCTGCCGTGACACCACCAGAACGACGAGCACCACCGCGCGTCCTGAGCCGCTATTTGCTGTCCATCGATCGCGCTGTCACCCGCGGGCTCAGCCTGAATGTCCTCCCGATGCTCCAGTCAACTAACTAACTAGCAGGAAAGCCTTGTCGCTCGCTCTTTGCTTTTTTCCCCCAGCACCTTTTTTCAACCCTTTTAAGCTCGTCCCCAGGAAGGAGCTGGCACTTCTATTTGCCGGAGAAACCGCCTGGAAAAGCCCTCGTCGACACTGTCCTTAGCAAGTATTTTAATATCATCCTGTGTGTCTGTTGGAGCAAGAAAACCGTCAACCGCAGCTGAAGTTGTCGAGTGTTTGCTTGCTTACCTAAGCCTGCACGTCACTCGCTGCTGAAGATCCTTGCGAACCTTTTTTGGCTTTATTTTTCGACGGCCTAAAAAGGCGAAGGAGAAAGCCTGAAGAACGCATCACATCACACGCACTCAGTCGCATTCAGCGGAGTGTGCATATATAACCAAGTGCTTCCCCCCGGCGGGACGTGGACGGTGCTGATGGCGAGAAGCTCGTCTTGCCTTGATTCTGTCTGATCACCCCAAGAGCCATGGCGCCAGGTTTACTGCGCTGCCTGCTGCTGCTGACAGCCGTGGGCGCGGACGCTGCTGCCTTGAGGATCCAGGATCAAGATCAAGCTCCCCTAGCTACGGCTCCAGATGAAGCTGGTGATGTCCAGGGACAAGGCCATACCGGCCTGCATGGCCGTTTCTTACATATAACAGGTGTGTTGAGCTGGTCTAACTGCCGCTTTTTGGCTAGGAGAGAGTGGGAGAGATAGGTGCTGACATTGTATATCCCAGATATCCATGCGGACATGTTCTACAAAGCCTACACGAAGGTAAAAAGAGACTGCCACCGCGGACATGGCGTTGCTGGCTTCTTCGGTACGCCCGGCACAGACTGCGACTCCCCGAAGACGCTGCTGGATGCGACCTTCGACTGGATCGGCGACAACCTGCGAGACAAGGTTGACTTTGTGATCTGGACAGGCGACGCAGCGCGCCACGACAAGGACGAGCGCAGACCACGTTCTGAGAAGGAGATCGTGAGCACCAATCAGCTTATTTTCGATAAGTTTGTCAAGACATTCCACAAGCCCAGGGATGAGCTCGGAAACACCCTCAAGGTCCCCATCATTCCGACCTTCGGAAATAACGACATCATGCCGCACAACATCATGGAAAGTGGGCCGAACAGGTGGACTCACATCTTCGGCGAGCTGTGGCGTGCTGTTATCCCCGAGGAGCAGAGACACTCGTTCGCAGTTGGAGGGTGGTTCTATGTCGAGGCCATACCGGAAAAGTTGGCCGTCATCAGCCTGAATACCATGTACTTCTACAGTGCCAACAGTGCTGTAGATGGGTGCAATTCGAAGTACGAGCCAGGATTCGAGCATATGGAGTGGCTCCGGACGCACTTGCAGCTGCTCCGGAATAGAGGGATGAAGGCAATTGTGATCGGGCATGTTCCCCCTGCTCAGAACAAGAAGAAGAAGAACTGGTCTGGCTCGTGCTGGCAGAAATACGCTATCTGGATGAAACAGTACCGCGATGTAGTCGTTGGAAGCTTCTACGGACACATGAATGTCGACCATTTCATTCTGCAGGATTTCAATGATATCAGGTATATCATCGATGGCTCAGCGGAAGCTGATACCAGTCACCAGGGACAGGGAAAAGACGTGTCGACAATGGTGAAGATGGGCTACCTACGAAAGCTGAAGAAGATGTGGTCTAAACTTCCACAGCCGCCTCGGGCAGAAGAGGGCCAGGTGAATACTGCTGGATACAAGAAAGAACTGAAGAAATATCACGAAGAAGTAGGCGGTCCGTGGGCAGAGCGATATTTTATGTCCGTTGTATCACCTAGCGTGATACCGAACTTGGTATTTCTCTCCGGGTGGTGGAATACAACATCTCCGGCATAGAAAACCCAAAGAAGTGGCCGCAGCCTCCCAGCCTAAGTCCTGGCGAGGACAGCACTTATCCGCCAGATGATGATGGAGATTATTATGATGACGATGATGACAACAACTGGATAGAAATATGGAAAAAGCACAAGAAACACAAGAAAAACAAGAAGAAATACCCTAAATTCACGATCCCCGATCCTCCATCTCCAACCGCTCCTCCAGGACCAGCCTACTCTAACCAACCATTCTCCCTCCTCGGCTACCAACAATACTACGCGAACTTAACAGAACTCAACCTCGTTCACGACAGGCAAATGTTGGAACAAGGTGACGTCGACGTTTCCAAAAAGGAAAAGACCCCCAAGGACTTTTATCAGCTTGAATACGATACACGGACAGATCAGTCCTATCAGCTGCCTGACATGACTCTGAACAGCTACCTTGAACTTGCAAGACGGATAGCCAGAGAAGAGGAAGTACCCGTGCACGACACTGAAAAGTCTAGTGACGGAAACGACCCATCGATACTTCAACGCACCGTATCTCTTTGGACTCTTTTCCGCCAAAGGGCGTTTGTAGGGTTCTTAAACGCACGGATACGTTGATCTGAAAAGCCATGAATATATTGATTGGCTCAGATTTGGGAATTATAGATGACCCATTTCCGCATATATATACGGATATATAACCCTTGCATAGAATGGCCTTTTCTTGACTTCACGTATGCATAGCCTTTGCTTTATTGATGTTCTTCTCCTCTTTATTTTTATTGGTTTTCTTTGGTCTCCTTTCATGCGACCCAGCCAGTGGGTGGCGCGATACCCCTTTTTCCATTCTCTCTACCCTTGGCTATTGGTACAGGGGAGGTTTAGAGTCGACTTTTTCGTCTTTGTTATATATACACTGAGAGTTCTCAGCATATCTAGATGCGATATACTTTTATTTACTTCCAAGTACAGGAGACGGCTCATAGACTTGTTCAATTGTTATCATGGTGACTGGTTATCGAAAGAACATAACTTAATCTCTAATATATTTAAGGTAGTGGATGATACTAGCCTATAAGAGAATTTGAAACTAAGCAAGGGTATCCCCTAGCTAGACTTAGGCACAGGGTCATAGGCGATCTCATGAAAACTAGCTGTTTGTCTCCAGCCTCTCTATGTTCAACCAGCTTAGCCATGTATGCGAGTTTGGGAGACGACTTAGCAATGTATATTGCTAAATCAGCTCTGTTCGTCGGGGTCATTGCAGAAAAACCTTTCTTTGAAAAGTTAAAGTAAAAAGACGCATAGTCCCCAAAGCTATCTTGCCACCGCCTCACGGTGGTGGCATCTGATGCAGGGACATTGTTGTGGATGCCGTGTAAGCGGCTTGCAAAAGCCGCATGACTGAGGCGCGAGATATACGTTAGGGTCGGCAGCGTTAATATCTTCGCTCTCGAGCATGGCATAGCCTCCAGACGTTCACTAATCTCCTTGAAAGACTTCAACAGGTCCTCAAGGGCAACAACGGTGGGGAAGCAGCGGTGGAAGCAGCAGGTGGTCTGTAGGAGGTACTAAAGAAATCACCTCTTACTTTGCTGCCTTAGAGTAGTGCTTACCCTTTTGGAGCGAAGGTAGAAGTTCCTCGTGTAGGCTTGTCGTTATCCTTTATTTTGGTCAATTGCCTGGCGAATATCATCTTCAAGTTGCAGGGCGATAGTTAACTAGCGTGTACCGCCGCCCAGTTGGGAATCGCGCGAGTAGAAATAACTAGTTATCTATCGCTGTCGTCGCCAGGAAGAGTTCAAGTCGTGAGTCGGCAATCGTAGTTGCAAACTTATAGACTTACATATTAATGCTTAAACGTCCACTTTCGTATTTCAATTTGGTGGCATTGTGCTATTTTTCGCAAAAAATGCTCGGTTTTTGAGCTTTCAGGAGAAGGATAACTATAGGAGATCCTTGACAAATGCAATATTCTCACGCGAGATGACCTCTGGAACACAAGGAACAGCTTTGGTCGACCCCTCCGAGGGTTTTCGGAAATTTTAAAAACAGCAGAGCTCAAAGGCCTCCTGGCAGCAAATGATTCAATAGTTATTCTTTGCGTCTTTTCGAAGTCAGTGATAAAGCTAGTTTTAAAATGCTTTCAGGAAGGAATCACTTACGCCAGGAGCACTGGCCCGGATTCTCAGACCAAATGCAGTTGCTACAGGCACCTTTAGCAGGCTCCTGAGGGCCATCGGGAATAGACTTGTGGAAAGAACGAACACAAGAAGAAAAAGGACCATTCTTCCTTTCGCAATGAGTACACCTAGTTTTCATGATATTGCCTTGGCTATGATAAATCATAGCATTGTCTTGGTGCATATTCTTAGGGTGATGAATCTGACCGTTTCGAAACCGAAGAAGGGTAGATTGAGGAAATTCGGCAAGGCCGCGTGCGTGGGCCAGGTTGGACTGAATTATGTGCTTAAAGTGGGCTTTTCCACCCTGAGAATTCTTCTTGGTGGAGCCCTTAGTGGACTTTGGGGATCAAGCTAGGCCACTGTGCTTGTTGTTGAAAAGCCTCTGGGCCTCTATGAAATTTGCTCCGTGAGGTAGGCTTGATTGACCATCTTAATCGACAACATCGTAGACACCCAAATCCATACTCATGTATGCCTAAAGGATTCTGCGGCTCTCGATCTTTTCCGGCCAGGTAGCCTTACCCATCCTCCTCGCATAGAGATACATACATAAACGAAGCGGAGGTGCCTTTTCGCGGAACGGTTGTCGGTAAGAAAGGCCTGTTCTTTTTCACCAAGCTCCTATTCAAATCATTACATGCGGAACGGTGGTTTCTCAGTTAAATTCAACGTTAAGCATCCTTTCCATTTGCGGAATACACCGCGAGAGTGGATCCCTGTCTGTTCTCGCAAATCCCCGTGTACTAGGATGCATTTCCACTTTGTTATTTCACACTCTACTGGGGGTCCCGGGACAATAGCAATGGTGCGATTGTTCAATGTTTGTTCTAGTCTTCTATGCAACGTAAGACCTATGAATTCGCTTACTCGGATGTAGTTATTGTCTTACAAATCAAAGTGATTTGCTTACCATTCTTTGAGTCCTCGAGAACAACTTCATTTTCTCCAAAAAGGTGTTTCGGCCCGTCCTCCTTCAAGGTCTTTGGTATTAGGTGAGCTGTCACAATCTCATCGGCATATTCCCATCCGCTTAGGTGATACCTCATTCTTCCAGCCTTCTTTGACGCCCATAAGTACTCTATGACGCCTTTTCTGAATACCTTCTGGTAGAGCTTTCTGAGGTCGTTAAGGGCAGCTGCTGCTATAGGCCTCCTAGCTATTGTAGCCTATTGTAGCTGCGTATACCCGCCCCAAAAAGCCAGCGTCTACTTCCTTTTTGCACTTCAACCGCATTACCATGAGCCGACGTTTATCCTCAATTTATGACTCTATGGTTCAGAACTGTCTTTTGACAGTCTGTAGTTTCTTAATGAGTGGGACATATTTCTGGTCGAGTGCCTCAAGCTCAGCGTGATACTCTTCCTCTGTGAGTTTATTTGGCAGAGGGCATCACGAAGGCTCTTTGATATCTGCCATAGTAGTCAAGCGTTGCTGTGACTACCTGTATGTTGCCTCTGAGGAATTCTAAAACGGAAGGCTCCCCTATAACTAGATATTCCGAAAATTCTAATAGTTTGTCCACAATATTGGAATTCTTCTCCTCCATCTGCCCTAGTTCGTCCGGGGGAATAAAAGATGTGTATCTCGGCTGAACCTGGCAAAGCTCTGAAAATCCTTTTGAGACCTTTAATAACTCTATGGGAGTATGGAGCAAAGACATACCAAATATAACCAATATCTCTGCCGCCTAATGGTGTGAAGTCGCCTTTTTGGCTAAATGACAGTCTCGACTAGGGGTAGCAACTAGGGGAACGTATTCGTAGAAAAGAAGGGATAGCATGGAGTGGAGGGTGATAATGTCATACTAGACAACCAATTAAGAATTCACCTTTCGTAAAACTACACAATCTCGCTGACTTGTTATGGTGCTACCTGATAAATACAAGCATAGAGACCCCTTGGAATACTCAGTCCGTTATCTCACATTCATTTTCTAGATATGGAGTATGCCTTCTCTCGGCGTTCGACCCATCGTGATGAGGCTTAAAACTTAGTTTCCGAGGTCTCCACTTTGAACCTAACGGCTGGTAACTAGTTAGAATTGACCACATTGATTGACCCTTAGCGCTTAAAGATTATGAGGATATAGTATTATTGAATATACCTGATAGAAACCATAAGCTTTATACAAAATGTTGGGTCTAAATAGATAGTACACACGCCAGGATAGACGTTCAGCAAAGCTGGGGTGTTCCTTATCCTTGTTTTATTCTAGCTATCCTACAAGGGAGTTTAAAGGGGGCAGAGTTCTTACACGGACCATAAACAGGGATTGTAAGGGTTCGATAGTATCCATAATTATGTGTATAGGCTGGGTTGCTCTACCAAAGAACCTAACATTAAAGCTTAAAGGCTGCATATAAAAATGCCGAAGGGGCATATAGCAAGGCAGACACTCTATTAGTTAGAAATAACAATAAGAAGGTACAGTAAATCCGTTCCATAGTTATATTCCCCCGTATTCCTTTACGGGAAAAAACAATAATGATAGAAACAAAAAGAAGAAAGCCATCTAATGGAAATCCAGGCTCCAGTAATGTACACCGAAGCAAAGATCCTGTTCAAGCAAGGAATCCGACCATGTCTAATGCGCTAGGTATTGAAGGTCAAATGACGAAGCAGGGCTTCTGGTATGCCGCATGTTTGCAGGCCAAGGTAGGTTTCGGTTTCGGTGGCGGCATGCGATGTGGAGCTGGTGGTTTGTCGTAGGTCCAGATACAGGATAAGATGGCCATGCAAATTAGATGCATAAGTATGTGAATTGTAAATCGACGGCCAGTCCAGCGTAGCGTTATTTCAACCCGTTGAAATGCAAGCCAAGTAGAAATGCGCAGCAAATCGCTCGCTAATATGATGCAGAAAAAAAGGGACATTTGTAAAGAAAACATCTCCAAGGTAAAAGTGTTGAGCTTCTAAATGATTATCCGTTTTTCCCTGGCAAGTACATCTCGCAGATCCTCAACCATGGCTCTCTGCGTTGACTTGCGAGGAAGCTTTGCAGGGAACAAAACAATAGCCTGTCTTAGCGCCAAAACACCCATGTCACCCCAGAAATTAACAATGCGGGGTGCAGAATAGCGTAGCATGGCCGTTAGAACGACAAGATGCGTATCCTGCACTTCTGCGGGGGGTACGTTAACGATATACGAAAGGGACTTCCAGAAGTTGCTGTTTGGGTAAGGGTTTTGGCGCGGACTTTTAGCAAAGTTCCGCAATGCTATGGCTGCGTATCCGGCTCCGAGGCCTGTCATGCGCTCCTCGTGAAGCTGGGGGCTTATGAACGGACCATTCTTCTCTTCTCGGTACCAACCGATTGCCGCTTTGCCTTGATCGGTTGATTGGTCTCCGTAGAAGCCCCAGAGGACAGGACAGAGAAATCTGTATTTTGCCATGAGGATGTCGATCATGGACTGGCCCTGGTAGCAGAAGGCGTCCATGGAGAAGATCTGGGCTGTAAGCACGCCTAGGGGTTCAGCACATTTTGTAGTTACGCCTGCTTCGAACATTAGCTGCGCGAGAATAGATTGGCGAGGATGTTTAGTAGATATACCCAGAGAGCTGGAACCTGCGGGTTTTCGGCATTGGCGATGTTTGGAGGAGGGAAGGCGATGAATTGCCGTATGTCTACGCTTGGTTCTGCCAGCTCTTGTGCCTTTTTCAGAATCGTGGCAATTTCCCGGGTCTGTAGAGAGTTTCTTTGTCAGCATCTCATTCGAGTGATTGCCTGTCTAGGAAACGGGAGGAGTTATGGTTTGTCCTTACTGGTTTCTGATTTGCGGCTTTATCGTCTGCTACCAATTGGCCTACGCACTTTCTAATGGTTCTGCGCATGTCACCCATATGTTGCTTCAGGAGGGCATTTGTCTTCGTTTGGGCTCTCATGTATGTCCGGAATTCCTTCAGATGAGCATGTAGTTTCAAGTAGCGGTCATGTTCTTGTATTTCTTGCTGGGTCCGATAACTGGCACCGGAAATGCCCTGCTTTGTTGCCGCCTGCTGCTGCTGCTGCTGCTTCTCCTCGGCTGCTTTCCGTTTTGCCTCTTCCTCTGCTCTGCGTCTCGATTCGTCGTCCGCTTTCTTCCTCTCTTGCTCTGCCCTTTCTCGCTGAAGTCGCGCCTTCTCTTCCTCGGCAGCCCTCCTTGCTTTCTCGGCTTCTTCGGCTTGCCTGGCTTTCTCTGCTTCCTTTGCTTTCCGCTCTGCCTCGAGCCTGGCAGCTTCTTCTCTCTCCTTTTGTGCTTTTTCTTCTTTTTCCTGTCTGATCTTCTCCTGTCGCCGTCTCTCGGCCTCTTCTTTCCGCCTACGTTCTTCCTCTACCGCCTGCAGATGGAGTCGCAGCGTTTCCTCTGCCTGTAACCTTCTCTGGTCGCGTTTTGCTGCTGCTGCATTGAGCGCATTGGTGTGAATTTCCTCTCTCTCTCTGTCTATCCGATCAAGCTTCTCGTGGAAAGTCCGGCTCTCATAAGCTTTGACAAGCTTTAATTCCTCACCATGTATGCGGACCTGCTCTAGATCCCTAGTCAATTCCTGCAGGAGCTGCCTGCTTGGACTATCGGGCGCACGATAAGCAAGGGTATTCACTCGAACCATGGTTGGCCTCGCCACACCAAGTATCCAAACAATCACGCGTTTGCTAGTGTTCTCAATTCACTTTCGATATGGCGCTGAACGAAGAAAGGTTCGCTGGCTATTTTGCGGGAAAAAAAAATTAAAGATCGAGATGGCAGTAGAGCTATTTTCCAACAGACAAGGCCAATTTAAAGCTCAGCAGGGACTTCCTCACTCTCTAAAAGAGAAAAGGGAGATGTTTTCTTTGCGTGAAAGGGTCGAAACCCCAGGGAGAGGCGCAGGCCTTTGTACCAGAAGAAGGGGACGAGGGAGAGAGGATATGACCAAATGACGAAGAGAGGCGACAGCTGCAAAATAGGCGTCAGTAAGCAAACATCTCTCAATTGCAAAGGGGCAAACCTACCACCAGCCACCGTCCCAGCGTTCCTTGATGTCGCTGCGGGTTGTGTTGCTGCCGTCGTCTTGTCGGGGGTGGAAGAGTTGACGTTGGTCAAGTCCGACTTTTTGTCCACGCAGGGAAAAAGATAACCAAGCTCGCTGATCAGATAAGCAAGCCCCATAACTACAACACAATACGGAGTAATAACACTTGAATATCAACACAACGGCGCCAACGATATCTCAAACACTTGGAGATGGGAAAGAAGACCACGACTAAGCTCGCATTGGGCGTCTAGGCATAGAATTATTCCTCGTCGTCCCAGAAAAACCAGAAAGGCGTACTCCGTACCAATAGTTATTACATCATTTGTCTGTGTATTTATGTTATGTCTCAACGGCCGTCAGCTGTCTCCGGTGCTGCCAGCCAGCAGGATATAAAACGGCTTAGACTCTCTCGTAGACGCTTTTTCCCTTCTCTTCCTCTCTCTCTCCCAGCTCTCGTGGCATCCTCCTCCTCCTCTCGCTAAGGGCCGTCTTCACTCCTTATCATCCGAATCTCCATAGCTACAGCGCAACTGGCAACTCCCAGCCAAAACCAATGCTCACTAGCTAGCTTCTCCTCAACCAGCCAGCTCAACAAGCTCGACTATCTCCAAGCAGCCGTAATGCACCATTAATAATAGCATTAATAACGCCAGCTTATCGACCTATCAACCCGCCAGCCTGCACGTCTTGCTTCTTCGTCTCTGTCTCTCCTTTTGCTGTGTGCTGCTGCCAAGGCTGCCCTTTGCCCCCCCAAGCCTAAACGGGAACAAGCACAAACCTCCTTCAAAACCGTCGCCGCCGCCATCTTCAACCTCGTCAACTCCAACTTCATCCACCACCTTCTCTTCCTCCCTCTCTCTCTTCTTCTTCTTCTTGTTCCTCTCCTTGTCCACACGTCGTTGCTGTCGTTGGCCGCATCCTCATACTGGCCGTCTCTCCTTTGCCCGTGTCTGTCGGCTTGTTAGCCTCTCCTTTTGTTGCTGTCTCGGAAGGCCGTCCTCGTTCGCCTCCTGTCGCCTCCCCCACGCCCAACACCTACCCTCTTTCAACCGGTGCAGCTCTACAGCATTCGCACTCTCGTCCGCCCGAGATCAAGCGCCGGAGACGAGCTCAGCCCTTGCTCGAGCTTCCGTCGACCGTCTGGGGTGCAGCTTGCTACGCTGTGGTGGCCTCGTCGGAGCTCCCTCCCGCGATCCAGCGTCAAGCCGGGGCAGATCAACACTAAGCAGAAGACACGCCTGCGAAGACGACAAAAGCTCAGAAGCTGAAAAGCTGCTTTTGGCTCGTCTTCTACAACTGCTTCCTTCCCTGCATCCTCAGCTTCTACGGCCCTTCGTCCTGTTCATTCCTTCCCAGAAGCTTGCATATTTTGGCTCCGAGTCAACATAAACAAACGAGACCACACCCAACGTACCAAAAAGAACACACCCACACCCACACCCACACGTACATTCACATACACACACATACACACCTTGCACACATCTTGGATCACATTCACGGAATACGGCATAGCTTAATCCTTGTTATACCTGCTCGACCACAGAGATACCCTTTCTCTCAGTCCTCAACCTCTTTTTTACCCTTAAAACGCTTGAATCCCATCGTTTGTGATAAAGGCTGTTGGCAGTACGCATTGCTCTTCAGTGGCATGGTCAACTCGATTCTAACCC